TGGGGCCCTGATTTTTGTCTTAAGTAAGTGTCTGTGTGTGAATGTTACGGGTAGGATTGTCTCTGGAGGGAGGGTGGAAGGGTTCGCAGTAACCCAACACCACAGAACATCCCTCGGACGGACGTTAGAGCATATCGCAAAAATAACTCGCTGTTGGGCTGACCTCACATGCACGCAGAGTTCATGTGCTTTACACTGAGCAAAATACAGACAAGAATGTACAACAGCATTTTAAAACCGTCAAGAGAAAAAAATACGTGTTGTTCAGGGCGTGAAAGTCCGGATGTGGAAGCCAAAAACCGAAACAAAATCTGACTTAAATGCTTCTCTATTGTAGCAAACATTAAAAAAAAAAGCTGCTTTAAACACTTTACATTTGGTGACTGGGGATTAAACTGGAGTGTAAAGTGAAGATAAACACTAAGGTTGAAACCAGGTTTCAGGACCAAAGACTGAAAACTATAATTGTTAAGTGTCACTGATTCTCTGAAAGACACAGCGAAAAAACAAATCCATTTATGCGTCTTTAAATTTCCATATAACCTAAAGATCTACTTTAAAGAGAAAAAATATATTTAAAAGAAAACAGAAACCAAAAGAGAGCAGAAGAGTGAAACAAAATGTTCGACAAAATAGAGCTCAAACATTTGAATGCCTGTGAATAAAAACAGGCTAAATTTGGTGAGTGGGGATTAAAGTGAAGACATCGACTGAAGTTGGCAGCCGTAGCAGACCAGGTTCTCCTCCGAACCCCTCGGCGCTGACAGGAGGATAAACACTGACGGATCGACTTTCAAGTTCATGCCTTGTAGTGGTGTTGCCTTTCAGCGTGCCACATCACCAGAACGTACATCATCGGTTTGCCACTGCTGTAGACCGAGCGCATGTCCAAACTGTTCCTTAAAACGCTTCAAAAATTGACTCCTTTAACCTTAACAGTACAGAAAAGACACTCAGGGCACAAGAATACGAGTTGTAATCTTGAAAGAAGCAGGATAGAAACCACCTTTTCTCTACAATTTCACCTTATGTAACACTAAAAGTATATTAAAGTAGACTAATTAAACACCAACCTTAAAGTAAAACACTTTAGCAACAAGCTACAAACTGACAGATATAAAACTTGGTCCAACACCAAGATCAGCCAGTCACACTCTGCAGAGTCTCTTGACTGTGTGAGCAAATGCAAAAACAAACTTGAGTTGAACAAACAAAAAATACGTTCTTATCAACCCAATATGAAGTATTTACAACTGCTGGTCATGCAAACAACTGAAATACTACATGCTTTTCAACTTCATCTACTAAACAACATCAAGAGTTCTTACTTCAACCGAGCAGAGTTGTCAGCTTGTTAGAGTCCCAGAGACACAGACCGAGTCTCAGGCAGACCAAGTGTTAAGAAGGTATATATTGCAATCTCTGATAGCCCTCTAAATCCTCCACTTTCTCTTTATGGAAGTGGATTACTGGTCAAACCAATGAGCTGGCAAGGTCATGAAATACAGTACAGTGTCATCTGCACCCTTCCTAGACTCCCCTCATTATAAATAACCCGCCCTTTAAGATTGTTATCTGTATTATCTTGTGCCATCGAGTTTGTGACGGACAGAATTCAGGAAAGTGATTAAACCACAGAGGCATTTTATAATCAACAGTTAATATATGTAGAGAGAGAGACAGAGATCATTTAGGGATTTAAAAATAAAACTCTCACTGACAGGCTGCTGGATCAAATATGTGTCTCTATATTGATGATAGATAAAGCAAAGGCAAATTAATACAGTATAGGTTGTTGATTTTTTTTATACAAACTAAAGCTAAAACAATGACGTCAATTTATAGAAAATTAATCTGCAGTTATTTTATATTCTAGTTCAGGTGTAGAGCTTTTCACCGACATCAAACTGTTTCATTCCAATGGTTTTTAAAAAGCTGCAGAGCTGGCTGCTATTTTGAATGCAGCTTATTACTTTTACGCCCTCTGTAGTGTTCAGAGTGAACACTGCAGAGGCTGGAATCTGAAAGCTGATATTTCAACACAGCTAACGTATTCAGTTTGGTCTCAAGGTGATGCTGAATCCTTATCATTTAGATACATTCAGAAACATTATCAGTTTGTCCTCATTCATTAATTCAACCCTGTCTCCTGGAAATGTTTATATACACAACATAGCAATTCTTTTTGGAAAAGACGTAAAGCTGTTTGATACATTTTTAAAGAACATATTCAACAGTATAATGTTCGCTGACAATGTACAAACGTATTTCACTTGTTTTTCCTGCAATATCCGCTCTTAAAATCCACAATTATCCGAGTCATTAACGCAAATCTTGGGTTTTCATTTTTGCACATTGTAAATCTTCTTCATACTGTGACCAGCTACTTTTCTACAGCTCTTTTCATAAATAACAGATAAATTTGACATATTTTTATTGTAAATGTCTAATTTATATTCATGATTCTTGACTTGTTTTCTCTTACTGTGCTTATTTTAACTGTTATGCACCAAAATACCATGTTTGTTAAAACCTACTAAAACATGATTCACTTTTGTCATTTTTACATTCAGGCACTCAGGTTCAGGTTCAGAAAAGATGATGGTCGAGGTTAAATACTAATAAAGTAAACTGTGACTTGATGACCGAGATATGACACGTTAATTAACAAGGTCAGGTTGACAATTTTTCAAATCTTCTAGATTTTGGTAATGCAGCAACCCTTTTACTTACATTTTGATTATGGATCGTGCCTTTAAAGAAGGAAGGTGAACTCACGTTATGCTGTTGCAGCCCAGAGACTCAGCAGAGAAATACCTGCAATGTAAAAAGAAAACTGTAAGACAAAACAGACGGCTTCCGTTAATGTAAACTCGAGTCAATATCAAAATCATATGAATCTATAAAGGTCAAAAAAACATACCTACATCCCAAGCATTAATAAGCAGCATGTAATAGTTTAATAAATGATTTATAATGCAGTGTAGTTATAGGCATAAGGACATTTTAAGTGTTCATTAATATAAAGAATCTGTCATTATCAGCATATATATCTGTATATTTGGATAGACAGACAGCCTCCACTTATGAGTGTCCACAGTTTGCTGAGAAATACATGAATAAATTCTTATTTCTGATTAAATCTACAGTATAGAGTGATTAACCTTATGGCCAACATTTATAAGTGTATAAATGCAACATGTTCACCACATAAACATTTAAGATAAAAGGTTAAAATCAATTAAAACAGCAAATTAAACAGTACATTATTTTTAAAAGTTGTCACTTACCTTTAAGTTCTATTTCTGGGTGAACAGGAAAAGAGATTTATGACTCAGTGCTAAAAGTCACCCAGTAGAAAGATAAATACACTAAACAGACCACCTTTAAAGGGGACAAATGTTTTTATGGGAAATTATTTGGAGTCATATTTCTTTCCGTCTCACTATAAAATTGCACCTTTGGTCTCCATCAACGATGTGTTGAAGATGACACCTCTTACTGGGACTTTAATGCATCACCATGACACCGTTAGAGACTTCGCACGTCATAAAACAGCAACAAGTAAGAAACCAGAGTCAGTCTGTAGCTCCGCGTTGGATCATGTTCACTGATTTTTAACATTCCCACAAGCTAAAGAGATGCTGCTTCATTCATTTCCATCCACCTGTTGTAATTATACTCATCTTTAACACTCAGTTTGATTGTGCACAAGGATGGGAATAAAAAATATATATATATATATATATATATATATATATTTACTTAACATTTTAATTTTTAATTTAAATTAGATAAATAAAAAACATTCACTATTTGAATTCACATCATGCAGTTTACATTTGTGGCATTGGAGGGCGAAACCGTGCTGCCGGATCACCGGAGGACACGCTGCCTCTTTTTTTCCTCCAAGTTAAGAAAATCGAATATTCGCAGTTCACATAATCAGGTTGAAACTCATGTATGTTTTTAAGCACTTAAAGATGCAGTCATCACTAAAGTGTGTGTCATACAAGAGAGCCAATAAAAACTAATTGAATGGTCAAAGTTGTCATATTCCCTTTTTACACCAAAAGAAGTGCGTACTGTGGATGCAGGTTTTTTAAACACGCAATAGCACAGCAGCTATTTCTAATCTCATGCACAGTGGATGAAACATTTTTTATTCCAAAAAGGGACTTGAGAGTTTGACTCGGTCTCTTGACCAAAGACTTACTTTGGACTTGCATAAAATGACTTGTGAAGCTCTCTGGCTTGCACAAACTAAACAATATTAAAAAAACATCAACTTTGAGTAGTTTATTAACCAAGTACTTTTATACTTTTACTTGAGTAGGTTTAGTTTTTACTTTTACATGGGCAATTTTTTTATGGGAGTAATTTTACTTTAACTTAAGTAAAGATTTTCAGTACTCGATCCACCACTGCAAATGTTTGCTATCAAGAGATTTATGTATTATTTAAAAAGGCAATAAGAAAAATGGTAGTCCTCTCTTGAGCTCTGGGGTGACGACATTTTTCTATGATAATCTTTGATTTGATATGATATAGGGCTGGACAATAAAACAACAACAATAATTATCGCAATATAATTTCTTTCAATAACAATATAACAAATGTTCAATAAATATTCAATAAATGTTTGATTTTATTCACTTGAATCATACACGAATTAGGACTTAATTTTTTATTAAGATTTTTGTTGAGGAAAAAGGACTGAAAAAAAAGCTTTTACTAAATTTTACTCAAGCATGTGTGTTGATTTTATTATAATTGTTTTCAATGTTCTACCTCAGATTTGTGAAGTGATCCAGTGTTTGGCCTCAAGTGCTGACCGTAAAGACGAGTTTAAACCACAATTAACCGTCAGGTTTCTTCAACTTTCCCTCAGTAGCAAAAATCAGCCTTTAAACTCAAAACAAATAAAGATTTGATACTTATCGTGATAATTATCGATATCGAAAGCCCTAATTTGATACAGTTTTTCCAACAAATCCAAGTAAGCATGACAAAACAGCAGGTGTTTGTTTATTCGGTCAAAGTGTCTACAGCTCACAAGGCAGTTTAAAAAAAAAATGTATTTGTGCTATCTCAATACTTTTCTGATTAAGCCAGGCAATGATAAACAGGAATTAAAAATATTGCAGGTTTATTAAAAGCCGATGCAGTTTTTGTCAGATAAGACACTGATTTAAGCCTCGCCCTCAAACATCTTCTTCCTCCCGTCCATGCCAGATTTGTCTTCAATGTTTTTGCGCCAGTCACCAACGTCACGGAGTTCCTTATCCTGAAACATCAAGAGGACCAACAATCAGAGCTGGACCAGGAGGTTTCATGCAACGTATCGCATTAAGATGCAAGTACACGACGACTGGTCTGGTAATCCTGCTTTCCTTTTGGCTGAAGACCTACCTGACACTAGTTCTGCTAGTTTTAGCTTGACTTTTACTGTAAATTAGTGGGGATAGTGAGGGTTGATGGAGCAGAAAAACTGCAAAAATTGTTTTACTATGCAGCGTATTGATCATGTTTGTTGTGAAATACAAAGGAGTGATACTAATAGACCGTGCAATAATGAATGAAAAGATTAGGGAGGACTTTGTTTATAGCATACTTAACAATAAAGGCATGAAAACAGGTTTATATTATTTCCAACACTCTACAGTATGTAGAGCCTTCTCTGGATGATTTTGACATTAAAGACATAACATGATTTGTTAAGAAAGACCAAAGCTGAATCCAGACTGTGAGGAATTTAACATCAAAACCTTGGTTTTCTACTCTAATTATTGCAGGTTGATGGAAGTGGGTTCTAAAACAATTAATCTAATCAGGATGGTCAGATGTTGGAGAGAACGGACGGAGGTATAAATCCTACTAGACGGGTGAAGAAAGTAGTTTCCGTCCAAATAGGTTTATAAAACGAGGCCAGTCTCTTCTCCTCACCTCCTCTTTCACCTCCTTCTTGACCTGCTTCAGGTTGGCCCTCAGTTCCATGTTGACCGTGTGCTTGGAGCCCAGCAGAGCTTTCAGCATGGCGTCAGCGGACATACGCACTTTCCTCAGGACGGGCTTCTTGAACTTGCCCATCAGGTCCTGAACTTTGATCTTCAGGTCGTCAATCTGGAGACGGTACAGAGGCCGAGTTGGAGAATTAAGTCTGGATTTAATGAAAACATCTTCAGCACTGAATGTTTGATTGAAAGCCATCAGGAACTTCATATTTACAAACCAAGTACAGCCTAGCAAAAAAAAAAATACTTTTTTGGACCATGATCGTGCTTTTAGATAACAAAAATCTGAGACCTGACAAGTTTTCATATGAATTTTAGCAATTTTCAAACATAGCTTTGTTGGTTTGCTGATACGCTGTCATTACGCCGCGAAATGGACAGAAAGGAAAATATCCCTTTATTTGATTCTTAATGTCTTAGCAGTAAAAACTGGAGTTAAACATGTCATGTTTGTCCCGAGGTTGGGAGTGGAGAAAGTAATTAAAAACTCAATGGTTCACCTTCTGTGGAGCCGTGTGATTTTGAAACATTTTATACACATTTCCCCAAAATTCAACATGACATACTCGCTATCGTGTAATATATTTAGAAAACTCTGGTACCTCCACCAGATTTTAAAATATAAAGACATAATGTGAGTTTATGATGACGGGCCCGCTGAAGGTTTTGCAGGGATTATGTCAAGACAGGAATTACACTTGATTTCGCCGTTTCGTCCTCTGTCTATCAATACGGTATTTACACATCAGTGTATTTTGGTGAGATTCTCAATTCGTATTGGGCAACATCAAGTGAAAGTCACTTTTCGTGAACCGACCAATCACAGCCTGGAGGGGGCGGGACATTAAAAAAGTTTGACATGCTACAGCAAACTTTCGAAGTTCATTGATGCACATGAATGGTTATGATTATTGATAAGTTAGAACTTAGCTTTAGCATTTTTAATAAAAATAAAAGCATCCATCATTACTTCTGTGGCCTAGCAGCTCTGGCATTTGGCCTCAAAAGATTGACAACACCAAAGACAACGATGAAATTGGATTAAGTTGTTAAATAATATCATAAAATCTACCTCCTTGTCGCATTTATTGACTTTCATCTCCAGGTTGTATCGCTCCTCATCGCTCACGTCGATCTTGTGGTGGATCTCTCTGCACAGCTCCTGAACACAAACATCAATACCAAAATGATTCACTGTGGACCAAAAAAACATGTCTCATAATATCAACTAAATCTGATCACAGCTCTCACCGGTAGAGAGTTAAATTCCAAACATTTACATTAAATTCAGGTGGGTTTTGATTCTATTATAAACATGTTGGTTCACATTAAGACAAACTATTAGAAACACTTGCACCGTGAACCCTGTGTCATACTGAACTGTGCGTTACAGGACACACCTGCAGCTCCTGCATGCTCCTGGGCATGGACACAGGAGGACAGTTCTCAGCCATGTACCTCGCCCTCTCCTCCTCTCGCTCCCTCTCTTCATCCTCCAGCAAACCTTTGGCGATGGACAGCATCAAGCTCTGCCAGACAGCAGCCACACACAGCGTCACATATCGACGCACATTGACACAACTCCCAGCAGCAGAAGGTATTTATTTCTGACTGAAAAGTATGTGAAGAGGTTTTTGCCAGTTGCTGTGAACATTAATGTTTCAGAAACCTCTTTTCTTTTATTACTCGGTTTGGCTTTGCTTCCTGAAACGCTGTAAAACATTTTAAAGGAATCTGACCTTGAGATGATGCTTGCGACTCGAAGACATCTTTTTCCTGAGGAGTTTAAGAAAAAACTATTTGTTATGACGGATTTAAAAAAAAAAAGAAATTATTAATGAAAGAAACGTGACTTGATTCTTATTCTTAAACGTGAAATAAATATTGCAAATCCCTGGCAGTTCTTTTAACTTTGTTTCCAAAAACATTTTGGAGAGTTTTAGGACTCAATAATAAACCAAATGGTTAAAACATTGATTTATGTATCAAATATTTGCACCTATGTTTTTGTTACATGTCAGTGAGATGGGGAGTCCTCTTTTTAATACAACATCTGGTTATTTAAGTTTAAAAAGTTTGACATTTTAAAGTTTAACCTCAAGTGCTGTCGGTCCTTAATAAATAAAGAGATCTGAACATATGGAGGAATGAGACCAGAGAATTACTCACTCAGACATCTTGGAGTTTGTTTAGCTACAACGCCTGCAGAGAAACACACATTTTCACGGACAAGGCACACAGACATTATTTTCATAATTAATCAGAGAATTATCCCAGATACACAAACAGGGGAACTGGAAACTAGGTGAAGATGGGTTCAGGCTGAGGAGGAGCTGGACTGGAATGCTTCTGAAAGCTCTTTTCCGAACAGTCAGATGAAACGGGACACCAACTGTGACCATCAGCGGTCTGCCTCGAAGAAAGACCTCAAGTCTAAATTAGGACAAGGACCTAGGGTCCAGTTGTCCCCCCCTGGGCATCCCTTTCATGAAAGATCTGTCTTCTGGAAGATTACCAGGAAACACCTGATACCTCCTCTGTTGGTACAAACATCTCTGACATGACTGAGACGGTATCGTCTTCTCTGAAAATAGAGGCCGTCCAGAACAATCCAGATCAACAATCACTGCTTAGAAACGGAAAACAGAAAAAACTATTGGCTCTCCAAGTCTAAAGGTTGTTCCAACAGTGATTTTTTTTTACTCCTGTTCCCAATGAGAGTCAGACATTTACCGTAAAACTTGTCCCTTAGGCTACACCACACGTGTGGCTACACGCAGGTCTCAAGTAGAAGCATGGTCTAGTTTTTCTATAAGTTCTTTGGATGTATAAAACCTCTTAAAGCCAAACGGGTCACCTGCTTGAGCTGCTTAGATTGTGCATTCAAATATAAATGTTTCAGTCTTTGTGAATATGGACATACTAATCATCAATTCAGATTTACTGGTTTGGTAAACGAGAAAAGCCAAAATTTTTATACAAATAATATTGATAGTGGTTGAAATAAACAATTTGGTAGCAGCATATTTCACACCTTTGCTGAGCAAGAGTTTTGTGAGAAAGGAATTAAAAGCTTGCATAAACAGGAAGGGACAGTTCAGCGATTTAAGCAAATAAAAGCCCGGGCTATTAATTGAGGTTTTCTGGTAATATCGGCCAATAACGACGTAGAATCTGATCTAATATTTCTTCTTACAACACTGAGTGGATCCAGCAGAATAACAAAAAACAAAAAAGGGAGCAGATGCTGTACAAATATAAAGCACATCATCAGTTAAACTACGGATTGCCTCAAAAGAAGCACAATTAATAATTTAAAGACACACTGAACATGAAATCGAAATCCTCGGATCAACATGGATGTTGTGAAAGTTCATAAACAAAAGACATTTTTGACATTTAGCGACGTAACAAAATCAAAACGTTTATCTTTCAAATCAAACAAATAGGTGCCTTTTTCAAAACGAAACCAATTGTTGACAGTTTACAAACAACAAAGCCCACCAGCAGACCCAGGTTGTACAAAAAGACATTTAGGTAGGCTTATTGTGTTTAAATATTCAAATGATGCGATGTTGTTAATATGTTGTTGAATAACATGTTAGATTTATCATAAGTCATTTGAAATGCTTACTTATGTATTATACCCATTTACTTTAAGGTGACTTACACTGCTTTGAAATGATCAAATTAAGATTTAAAATAAATTTTTAGTGTCAGACACATAATACAGTTGTTTTAAATTAATTATCCGTATGTAGGTTTTGCTGCTTAAAAACACCTTATCCAAAACAAAATGTTACCAATTTAATATTCTTCACATAAGGAAATCTTTGTAACCTTTCAGTTAATTTAAATTATTATATATCAAATACCAGCTAGTATGTGTTTGTTGATGTAAGACTGGGAATGTGTGCAGGTATGTATTCAGGTAGCCTACGTTGATGTATACATATATTAGAGATATACTGTATACATTTATTTTTGCCTTGCTTTATCCTTTTATATGGAAGTACGTATTATTTTAATGTGATGCTACAGTGTATCATTATCAATGAATATGTATTTGTCTAAGTGTACGACCTGTTACATACATTTGATATGTCAAATACATAAAATAAAAACGAAATCACAGCTTCAGTTGAGGTTAATCCTCGGGCAAATTGAGATACATTTAGCAGTCACACGTAGAGGCTCTTTCAAGTCTCGTTCTTTCTTAAAATACAAAATGGATCTGAGATGTTTTATTGTATTAAAATGTCGGGGGAACGGGGAACAAACGGTAAAGGGGCTTTGTGTCTGCGTAGTTCTTAACTAAATTTACATTATAAACAATCTTATGCATGTATTTATAAGCTAACTGTATTGGAACATACTCAAGCTATTCCTTAATTTTCACATTTTGTGTTTTCTTGGGCTGAACATGAAGCCAAAGACACATGAACACAGCAGGTCACACTGAGGACACATTAGATCTATTTAAACAGTCTGTGTTGACACAGTGATAAACACTGGGACTACCACTTTTCCCCTTCTAGAGTCCATTTACACCAACACACACACACACACACCTGCAGCTTCACAGCCAAAATGATCAATATTCATCATATTCAGCATCCAAAAATTCCTCAGTCACCATCAATGACCTTCATCGTCCCGCCGCAACAGTTTCTAAAGAGCTGCTGTGTTTTACCGACTCGTCAGTGACAATTTAAACATCCAAACAACTTCAGAATCACTTTAAATGGCCAGATATGTGCACATGTTCGAGTAATTTAACTCCACAGTGCTCTCAATGTGCATACAGAGAACAAGCATTAACAAACAGGACAACAGCCTCAACGCAGCAGACATAAACTACAGAGTACAGTACAAACACATAAACAAAACATTTGTATAGAGCAAGACAACAGCGTAGTGAAGCATAGTGCAAAGGATGCTGTGTTTTGACGAGAGAATAAAAAACGTATTTACTGAACCGCATAACGACAGGGACAAAAAGTTTTTCTATGAATTAAATTTATGGAAATCAGCAGCAGCAGAGGGAAGGAAAAGATTTCTTACCTTTTAGCTGAGGACTGAAACAGATCGGAGCGACGGATTTGTTAAGCGGCTCGGTTTTGACATTATAAGTTGGTATTTATTGCATTTCCCGAAGGCAAGGGAAACCTCATCTTTCTGTTTATGGAAGTCGATTTTCTCACAGACCAATGGGCTCACAAGCACCTGAAATATTATATCCTGACCCCCCCTTCACCCCCAAATCTCCTCCCTGTCTGACCACTATAAACAACCCCTTCCTTCTGGATTGTTTCACTGCTTGCATTATCCAACCCCCGACCCCCAAAAGGAATCTTCTCATGAACCCGGAGGTGAAAACCAGTCAATTAGTAGTATATGACTCAATAAAACAGATTATTTTCATATACGAACACTATGAGGATGACCGTAAGAAACAAGGCTGGCCGCTGAGGCAGCTTTTCGATGAAGGAAACCAGCGAGCAGCAGTGATGAAAGTTGAGGGGAGAGCAGGTGGGAGTGCAGTTTCAAGACGGTCATTTAAGACACACTAAGTGGATGCCATTAAGAAGCTGTTAACAGGAGCTGGGCAGCGAGAGGAGTGAAGAGGCAGATGGGAAAATCTCTGAACTCAAGATCACACAGGATTTGCCGTGCAGAAAGAAAAACTGAAAAAAGGGGGAAGAAGTGAAAAGAGCAGAAATACGATAATATAAAAAAGGTCAGCAGTAATATCTGATGCCAATGACAGCAGCAAGGCATCTGAAGCCAAACTGAACTTCGGATATAGGTGGAAATACAATAATTAGTGGTAGTAAATACTGTCCTAATGATTGTAATAAATCTGTTTGTTTGTTTTAATTATATGTACAGTTGCTTAATTTTAAGTTGCACAAACAATGCAGAAAGTTGCCAGACTATTAATGGTAAGAACATAAATTAATAAGTATACAAGCAAATAAATGAAAAAAAGCAAATCCATTCAAGTGTTTGTCATTTATCCAGTTAAAAGATGAATGAATTCCCAATATTTGATTAAAATGAACCCTAACTAAGCAGGAGATAACTTTGTGTTTTAGTGTTAACTTTACACAGTAAAGATCCAAATGTTTGCAGTTATTGTTATTAATAATAAATAAATAAATAAATAAATATGCTACCCCCCGAAATACTAATGTATTCCCTAAAGACGTGAAAGCAGAACAGCCTTTGCTCTGGTGTTTCCCTGAGTCAAACAGGGGGGTCGGGCTGAGGGGTGGCGACAGACAAACTGCACCATGTGAAGCCACAAACACACAAGTGATAAGTGAAAGACCTGGCGACCACAAACACGTCTATTACAGGTCATCGGCTTCAATAGGAGTAAAAATAGTTTTATTCTAGCGTGTGCTTATTGTTCATGTACCAGGAGTCTGTAGCACAACAGCTACCTAACGTGTCTAGCTAATTTGGTGGGTGGTTTTTAATGGCAACAGCTTAAAGAAATGTAAACTTATACGGACAAAAGGTACTAAAGACATCTGCGCATTACTTTTATATCCCATTCTAAATTTATAGGCATTAATATGGAGTTGGTTATAATAGCTTCCACTCTTCTGTAAAAGGTGTTCAACAATATAATCCTGGCAAACGACCCCACAGAGGTTAAATCAGTGCTTCCTTACCAGTCAGTCAGAACTGAAGAAGTCTCTTGGATGAAGGACAAAACGTCTTCTAGTATCTTCAACCAAGTCCAGCTGCCCTTGACTTTAACCTTCTTTGGATAACTATGACCTGGATGGCTGAGACCTTCACAGACAAAGTTAGATTTCACTGATTCCCATTCATATTTTACGATGCCACAAATTATACCCAGCTACGTAAAAGCCTGAAAAGCAGCAGCTTTCAGAAAAAGTGACAAAGAGTAGTTATTTGGGTGTTTTCGTACAGACCGGAAGGTGTTGACAGCCCCCCCGAAGCCCCCCTACCCTTAACATCAGAAATGTTTGTACCTAAACCTAAGACGGCCACTTTATGCGTGTCGACCGGCTATGCGTAGCCTCCTTTGCGTTTGGTGTCAAATCTACGCTTTGTCACGCTGTTTGAAAGCGTCGGTAATGAGAACGCGCTGCAAAAGCCGGCAGTTAGAACAGAAGCACAGAGAGTCGTCTCGTCTTGTCGCATTGGCGGGTAACCGAATTGGTCGCAAATTTTTGATCTGAACTGGCTTTAACAGACAAAGTTTGGACACCTTTGAAAAGACCTTAAGTCAGTCGTACTGACTTTGAGTATTCTGCCTTGTACTTTTACTACTTTTTCCTGCAGGAGTCATTTGGTAAGTCAACACCAAAAACAACTGTTAAGTACATCCTTTTCTTTAATATTTCAACAGTACAAATTAAATCTCGACTTAAGAAACATGACATGAGAAACACATCGCTTCACATTTCTGAGTATCATATTCATTGAGAACATTCTGGGCCACTGAGAAATCACCTGAGAGAACGAGTTAGAAAACCTATTCAGTTCGATATCGTGCCTTTGACTCGGGAGCATTTACAACGAGGGATGAACCAAAATATGCGAATCCTCTGCCTACTACAGTGCCTCGTGTTGACAAACATATCCTCTTCTTCAGTCTCATCACCCTCCTGCATTAGTAAAACACCGGAACTGTACACGAATGACTAGCAAATATATTACAGCAAGGACCACTTTACACAAATGTCATTTTCATACTTTTTTTGCTCAAAAGAAAACATCAAAAAATATTCAAGATTTTACATACATGTATATCGAGAGAAGTTAAAATCAGACAAAGTGTGCAAATGTCACCGTACGGTCACGAGACGACTCCAAATGAAGGCACCATACTTCCTCTCCCACCACACCGCTCACATGACGACTTAACTGTGCTGCTGGGGGGCAACAAATATCAAAATAAACAAATGCATCTAAAAACAGATGTCACTCATGTTGCCATTTCAAGACAAATCAAATCAATATTTGCATGATCTTTAGGGACAGAAGGTTTTTGCCATGCGCTCGTTTTAGCCTGATTTGTCTGAATTAGAGCTCCAACGATTCGTCGATTCATCGATAAGTTCTCATTAAATTAATTGCCAACTATTTCGATAATCGATTCGAGTCCTTTTTTAAAAAGAATCACCAAATCATCCGAGCTCAGCTTCTCAAATGTGAATATTTTCTGGTCTCTTTCCTCCTCTATGACAGCAAAAGAAAACATTTGAGGACATCACCTTGGGCTTTGGGAAACACTGAATGCCGTTTTTCACAATCTCCTGGACCTAAAAACTAATCGACTGATTAAGAAAATAATCGACAGATTAATCCAATATGAAAATAGCCGTTAGTTGCAGCACCAATAGGTAATAAACTTAATTAGAATAAAAGTGTCTCAATTTATTGAATAATTCAAGAGAAAAATCCTAGTGTTGGTTTGTCGGGTCCAGTTTTGATGAAACCGCTTCAAAATTCAGAGCGTGACGCGTTTTATATGAGGGATCTAAAGCAATTTACCTAAACAATGTTTTGACGACACAGCTTCAATTTTAAGATCACGATGAGCTCCGACCAAGGGGGAAATTTTCTTCTTTAACAGGACAAAAACAGTTTCAATCATCACCAACATTTTAACCACTAACCTGAACCAAAGATTTAGCTGCTTAATTGAACCGTTACCTAGTCTAGTTCTGGTTTAGTAACAAATTAAGAGCAGAAGTGTCTCTACTGAACAAATATGGTTCAAGGGTAAAAATCCAACAATGGGCTAATGTGTGTCTCGGTGTGTGTTTTATACTTTTAGCTCTGACAACAGAGCTTCTGGGTTTTATACTAGAGGTGGTTAATTGATAGAACGGGAACCAAAATCCTAACGACTAAACTGGACCTGAACCAAACATGTAGCGTTTGGTAACCCAACCCTTTCGCAGAACCAACCTGGCCTGAACCATTTGATTTTGGAACCGCCTTCTGTAACTGGTGTGGATCATGTTGGCACTGGTATCTAAACAAACTTAAGCTGGACACATTTTCAGGTTCCTCGGGGAAAAAAAACCCCGATTAGTCAGTTTCCTACTAATTTGCGAGGAAATGAAAAACTCAAGAGTGAGAACACTACGATCGTCTTATTGCCAATATCTGGTTCAGTGACACAGCTCTCACCTGGACAAACGTCATAAAGCAGATGAGGAAATGCTGCTCACATATAATCTGGTGTGAAATCTTATTATTATTGAATTATTACAACATCTATCTGGGATGCAGTGGTCTTTCTATACAAAAAACAGCACCATGGCTTCTGTGGAGGAACATCGTTGTGTGTAATTCAGGGCACAAATCAAAAGTGATCAAATAATTAGTTGTCTCTCGCATATATTTTCCAAAATAAGATCCCATGGAGTAGAAAGGAGGGACCGTCTATTAGTTGATTAATCAATTAGACGAAAATTAAATCCGCAAGAATTTTCGTAATCAATTCATCTTTACGGCATTTGTTAAAAGCAGAAATATTAAACAATGTGAGGATTTGCTGCTTTTTTGTTTTATTATGACTGTAAGCTGAATATTGTGGGTCACCTGAGAGAGAGATCTGAAGAGCCATATGGACTAGAGCTGCGACAATTAATCAAATTATCTATTAGTTGTCAACTTTAAAATTAATCAGCAACCATTTTTACAATCGATTAATTGGTTTGAGTCATTTTTTTTAAAGAAAATTTCTCTGATTCCAGCATCTTAAATGTAGATCTTTTCTGGTTTCTTTTCTCCTCTTTGACAGTAAACCGGAAACCATTTAAGGATGTCTTCTTGGGCTTTAGGAAACGGTAATGGTCATATTTTATAACTTTCTGACATTTTATAGACAAAACAACTAATCAAGAAAATAATCCACAATGAAAATAATCATAACTTGCAGCCCTAATATAGACAGTTCATCGAAAAATACTCCACAGATTCCACGATAATGAACAAAGTCATTAGTCTCAGCCTTAGCTGGCAGTGGTCAAATTGTTCTTGGGTAAATTTATGTGGGACCAAAATAAAGTAATAGGGGGACAAAAGTACAAGAAATTGAAAAAAGAATCATATTGAGAATAAACACACAGTCCTATACATTAATTAATAAAATAATGTAAACTGAGGTTAACAGGGAAATCACATCGGGTGAACCATGTAAACACATTTTATTAAACCATTACTTAAATCTGGTTATTCTAATGAGCATGTAAACGTGGCAACCGTCAGACTCGCAGCAATACTCCCAAAATAATAATTAAAAACAATATTAAAATAATAAAAGGCAATACCTTGCATTTTTGGACAACCCCGTGAGTAGTGCAAATCATCTTTTGCAGTGAAAACCCTGAATCGCAGTACAGTGGCACTGATTCACTAATACTGACAATCACCCAGCTTCACTGCGCACACTGAAGTTCAAATTCACAACACAGCCACAGTCTGAGCACCAACCGAAGAGATTTAACCAAACAAACCGTGGCTGAAAAATGGGCGTAGAGTCTTCCTCACAGAGGACAGGCTGGCCCGTTCATCTTCCTTTTAAGTATGACCTTGGAAAACACACATACAGAAAGAAAAACAGCGTGAAAAGGTCCCAAACAACAGACTCGGGTTAAAACATGTCCGTGTGCAAAGTTCCCTCTTGCAATAGAAGCAGATTAATCAGTAATGTAATCCAGTCAGTGGTGTTAAATCCAATGGTGACAACTCACGAGAACGTCCTCCGATCATCAGAGCATGAGCAGCAGAGGCGCAGCTTTGTTTTGTTTTTACCCACCAACAAAGGTTAGTACGTTCAAACAACCATTTTACCAGCAAAATAGATTTTTAGGGGAAAAAAACAAAAGCTCCAAACAAACGGTGTCAGACCTTAGTCGATATGAAACAGATTGAGGTTCCAACTTGGCATCATATTTCTGAAACGCATCTCAAGCGATTTCACGTTCACATTAGAAATGAGATTTTATCTGTGAGGGAGGTGAAACCGCTTTTAAAAACAGAATTCAGCCTCCGCAGCAATTCTCTACCTTCACAATGTAGTGCGACTTTTACTTCCGGTCAACTCCACAGTAACGTTAGCGCCGCTTCTAACCTTACTTCACTTTTGTTAGTAGTATTTACTGTTTGTTTTTATATAGTGGTTTTTTTTGTCATTTTGATATCCACGTAGAGAACATAACCGTCAATGTAGAACCAACATTGATTTTTACATTTTAAATAGATAATGTTACGTCGCTCTGGCTCTTTTTTACACTCTTGGAAAAGCTGCCAAAAATGAAAATGACTGATATATACCTATATATACACGCACACGCGTATACCTTCCTGCGAAAGAGAGCGTATAAGGCCCCATCCAAACTACTCCATTTTTGTTTAAAAAACGAACACGATCTCCGTCCACACCAGCGTTTTAGCTGTGTATCACAGCTGATCACATCTAAAACGACTGAGACTGTTACTGAATGGAACACGGGAGTTAAGAGAGACTGTGGCGGTGGAAAACAAACTGGGAGTCGTCGCAAAGTAAACGGTGACAAGCAGAATACAAACGTAGGCTATAAGTGTTATTTGCACGGTACAGAACATTATCATAGAAATACCAAATCAAAAACTCTGTCAGTTGCATCATGTTTCTGTTTTGCATGACTTATGAGACCCAATCAGAGAGCCAAACGTGAGCTTCTGCGTCACCGTTTCTAAAGCCCTCCGTTTTTGCCCGTCAGCACTAAAAGCGTTTTCAAACTTCTCCGTTTTAAGTCTTCCTTTGCGCCGTTTTAGTTTGGACGGGAGGTGCAAAACGAAAAAGTAGCAGTGGGGATGGGGCCTAAGAAAAGAGCGGCAGCGACCCAACATTAACGAAGTTGTGAAATTACAAAAATTTAAATGACTAAAATATTGATTATAGCCGTATTAAGGATACGAGGTGATGTGGAACGTGAGTATTAGCCTAAAGTGTTCACCTGTGGACGGACAGCTGGAACACACTTTGGCATGTCATACTTCATTTCTAAACATTTAGTGCCAACTGGAGCATTTTTGTGCATCAAGAAACAAATACCTCCCTCCCAAAAACCCTGCATTGGTCAGGCTGATCAACCAAGTTTCCATATGAGCTTTCCAATTTCACTCGTCTATCACACATTGGCCTGCTGCACAGAGCCTTCCAGCCCTTTTGGACATATAACCCAACCCCGTGTGGTATACACACACACACACACACACACACACACACACACACACACACACACACACACACTGCTCACCAAGATGCATTTTAGTGCCAGTTGTGAACGGGAGCTAATCTAACGAGTAATATCCCACCCTGAACTGGAATGACATCAATAATCTCCTGAGATCTCCCATTATGAAATTCCCCTGATAGAAAACACCACCACGACTGCATGGCACAGAACTGAAGCAGGACTATATCAACTACACAGCCAACACTATTACATCGTTATACCAAGAAGCTGTTTACATTACAGTGAAGTCTATTGCGTCTCCTGTTCGGTGAGGGGGAGGGGCATAATGACAGCCAGGTCACATTTACAGGTTCATAGGAGGAAATACACCAAACTTTTACAACCACTGAACTCAAGAGGAGACAATAATATCCAGTTGACCAGTCTACAGGGGAAAGTACAGCTGCCCTTGGTTGTCTTTAGGAAAATATGTAATACCACGGGAGGATGGAGGAATAAAGAGAGCCTTGAGCAGAAGCCAAGCATGTTGGGAAACCGAGTCAGGTCCACGCCACTTTGCGCGAGATGGCCTGTTTGAAGCACTCTGGGTCGACGTTGCCTCCGGGCCGCAGAGCCCTTTCCAGGCTCACCAGCACGTTTTGGTGGCATTCTCTGATGTTGACCGGGTATTTGGCCCTCAGTATTTCGTAGGCGGCGATTAGCCTCATGTTCTGTTTCACCATCAAGTACTGGATGATACACGTCGGCGCCAGCGAGAAACCGTCCCGACAGTGGACCAAGACGCGCTTCCTCTTCTCGGTGGAGGCGTTGATGCACTCGTTGATGTCCTCGAAGCAGCGCTGTTTCAGGGCCGGGCCGTCGCCCAGAGCGTCCGGCACGTCTCCGATGTCCACCTTGAGGCGGGACCAGCTGTGGCGGGTGCCACGAGAGCAGGTGCACGGTATGAGGTTGAGGCTTGGGCCCGGTTCTCCCGGCACACTGCTCATGTCGATGATGCTGTCGATGTTGTTGCGGCACAGGGTGCGCCCGTTATACGCTGCATTCAGGTTGCCAACATAGATGTAGTCTGTCACCTTAGAGATGACGGGTTCAGAATATTGGAAGTGTTCAGGGCCACTGGGTTTGGGCTCAGGCGTATCTGGGCCCCTGGCACCGGCCGGCCCTGTGGCGGCTCTCCTGCTGTAGTTACGCAGCTTCTTGGAGCCCGAGCGGGATGGAGGGTTGGAGTCGGACTCAGAGCTGCTGTTCCAGGGCGGAGAGAAGAGAGAGAAGCGGCTGGAGGATTTGCTCTTGTTGAGGATCTCCACTGGGCTGGACAGGGCGGAGGTGGACGCCGCGGTGGAAGCCGAGGCGCAGAATAAAGACGCTCGCTCCAGAGAACCTGTGCTGCTTGCAGCTCCTGCACTGTGTGCCTGCTCCATCTGCAACACACACACACGTGATCGACTGACTTTTTAAATGACCAAGGAGTCAAGATGTCAAGTTCTTTTGTGAATCTGAATATGACCCACTTTTGTATACTTTTAGGAGCATGAAGCGAGCTCCTAAGTAATTATAACTGATATAGGGAATGAGGATCTAACACACAAAGTACATGCTCAAATAAGCTCAAATAATAATTTAAATAAATGACATGGGCATGTATTATTACCATCACACCACTAGGGCTGGCCATAAATGTTGTTGCGGTAAAGATTTTCATATGATTTGATATTTACCATTCAAGCTAAAGGCTGAGTGAAAGAACATGACAAACAGTGGACCACAACTATAAATCTGAGGTAATCAATTATAATAAAAAAAACATTTCAACAAATATGCACGTGTAAAAAACAATAAGTACTAATTCTTTTATGATTTACATTTTTTGAACATTTGTTTTATTGATGTTGAGGAAAATTATTATTGTGATAATCATCATTATTGTTTTATTGCCCCATTATTTTTATCACCCCACCTCCCCACGAGAAATAATGATTGTGTAGTTTTTAAAAGTCTCCTATGACCCCATCTAGGGATGCACCGAATGTTCTGCCACCTAAATTAAATCGGCTGAAAATAGCAAAAAAAAAAACAAACAAAAAAAACAAACACTTTCGGTGTTCGGCCTAATAAGTCAAAAGACCGAATAAATTTTACCGAACAATTACGCTGACATGTCGGCAGTGTGGAAGCATTTTAAAGTGTCCGAAAAAGACTCAAAAATCGCCATTTGTGGATACTGTTCGGCTTAATCGTCTCCCAGCACATCCACTCCAACAAACAGTCTGCTTTGATTGTTCCTGTCACTCGTTTGTGAGAAGGCGATTAAGCTAGCGGCACCTACATTTGGAGTGCACACGTGTTCAAGCCTTTATGGTAAATCCACTGAAACAGACCAGTGAGAGCTAACAGGCATGTAAATGGACACATGCAATTTACTTTACCTCTTGGGCCTCTGACCCACCCACCATAGTCTCTCCAAATCCTGTGGGAAACACTTAACAAAAAGCACATTTTGACTAATTTATGCAGTGGTAAACAAAATATGGCAAAAATGTAATTTGGAAAAATTTTTTCATTATATTCGGTTTCAGCTTCGGCCAGAAATTCTCTTTTCGGTGCATCCCTAACCCTACCTATGTAATTCTGCCACAACTCTTCACCTGAAGCAAGAAGACCTTCTAGTCAGCAAGGTAAACACAAACGTACTAAGATTGTAAACCTTTCTGTAAACGTCTTTTAATTTCAGTAACTTGTTTTGCTTGGTCCTACATCATGAAGACGGAGCTCAGCAGCAGATGTATGTTTGGAAGCACCTGAGCTTTGAGGTTGTTTTTCCACTCCTGCGTCTCCAGAGCTTTGAAGCGTCCGCTGCTGTCGGAGGAGACCGACATGCAGAGGGGCCGGTGAGCTCTGGGGGGGAGCTGGGGGGTGAGGGCCACGGGGACGGCCCTTGCATCGGCGTGCTCGCTCCTACTCATCATCAGATTTGGACAGGAGCCTGGGTCACACATGTCAGAGATCAACAGCATTTTAACAAAACATCTTCACACTGGTTGATCAGATTTAATTGTCTTAGTTACATGCGGTATATAAACCTAGCTTGTTAGGGAGGAAAATAAGTTTTGCAAAAACCTGGAAAAGAGCTGTAAAAATGTGCATACATGGTTGATTTTTTGTTAACAAATCCTGATAATGTGTCATTTACAACGGCACTTGGCTGGACCTGCCTTTACAAACTCTTACTGCACATTCAGAAACAATAGCTTATACCTAAATCATGTGTGGTAAAGCTGATAAAATCTCACAATCTAATATGAAAAATCAGACTGCGTGTAGTCAATTTGACTTCCAGCTTATACAGCGTACTAACCTCGACAACCCAGCTTTACTCTAACATTAATATAGCTCTCCTTATTTGCTAGGCTCCTTACATGCTTGCTAATGACTTTTATGAAGGTGGGTCGCCAACATTGACAGCGCTGTGTTGGAGAGATTTGTGCAGCGCAGCTCTGCTATGAAATACAATTTTAAATACGCCTACTAAAAAAATAAATAATATAAAAATGATAATCAATATGTGGCAGTCAGTGTTGACATTGTGGTGGGCTGCCACAAAATAAATCAATGTATGGGAAACCCTAAACATGGTGGCGCAACATGGGGACTTCCATGTAAAGGTACCTGTATGTAGATAGAAATGTCTCATTCTAAAAGGTAGTAAAAACATAACGGTTCATTATGTAAGGTCTTTATACACCACTGAAAACATAGTTATGGATCTTTTATTGCATTTCTGTCAATAGAGCCTATTTCCCATTTTTGCTGAGCATAAGTTTTGTGTTAAAGGAATTAAAGACCCAAATACAGGCAGGGTGAGTTGAGTGATTGAAGCAAATAAAAGCCTGGGCTATTAATTGGAAGTTTTACAGTATTAGAAAAACCCACTTATACTTATGAAAGTTATTCCGTGACCTTGTAAACAACAGTTTGAGAAAAACATTTTTACTCAAGGTCCAAGAAAACACTTTTCCCATTGAAATGGTTAGAAGAATATTTCTGGATTTTGGAAATATCTAGGTCTCTTTCAGAAAAACAGATGCTCTGTTACTGCTACACATGAGGTACAATCCAGAAAGGTGACATGTCCTTCATAATCATTCTTTCATGATCTGTCATAGTAAAGCATTTTGAATTGAGAGGCCTCAGCTGATGCTGCACCAAACAGCTTCATCCCTACAGTCTCAGTCCTAGCTAAAAAGGTAACCATAGGATGTAATAACCCTTCCAGAGGACAAAATGCAGTTTACAGCTGTTCATTTCACCTACCAGCACATTCTGAGCGGGTGATGGACTGAATCTGCAGTGTGTTCTGAGGTTTCAACAGGCTGTGAAGAGTCCTCACTATACCTGTAGATGAGAGGTCACCTTGCAGTAAGCTTGACAAAATATTTACCATGCACAGCTTTGGAGAGGACTTGAAATAACACCGGTCTTACCGATCCTTCCATTCTGCTTGCAGAGCACCTTTTTATCCAGTAGTTTGTGCGCACTCAGGTCTTTGTTCCACTCTTCCTCGGCTTCCATGTTCCGCCTCCTGCTGACATAGAGGCACAAAAACCCGGCACAGGTGACCCGTCATCTTCGGCAAGCCGGGCAACACTTCAGCTCCTTCGGACGGACATTGCTTCAGCAGCCTACCGGCGTGGCGCTACTAGCATCGCCAGCTAAGTTAGCTGCTAACGGCAGGCTAACTTAGCCAATCAGCCTGCTAGCTCAGTGTGTGTGAGTCATGGCGCTAACCGTCGGTTATTTCTGCCCCGAGGGGGGAAGTAAGTCCGCAACAAACTAAAGCATCCACACTGGAAAGCAGGGCTAACATGACGACGGAAGTGGTTATCGCTAATAAAAAATAAAATAAAGCAAAACGCTGCTGAACGTTAGCGAGCTAACCGCCGCTAGTTAGCGTTAACTAACGTTACTGTCTGCGGCTCATTGCGCATAAACATCCACTACCGCGGCGTCTTGTGGTCGTCAGCCGCCACACAACACGACCTACATCACAAATGTGATCATTAACGCGGAGCTGCAGTGACTGACTAGCTGGCTGGCTACCAAACAGCCGAGCCGAGCCGAGCCGAGCAGCAGCATCAGCGCGAGCCCGACCCCCTGCCGCGCGGTCTCTAATGCGGTCTGAGTGCGGAGGACTTTTATTCCCTGAGCAGCGCCTTCCAGGTTAAGATACAGTCTATGGTTAAACCTCCTCTATATCAACCAAAACGTGCAGGTAATGAATTCATAAAATGAGATGAAGGTTATTTGAAGGTTATAGCTTGTGAGGCAGGATTTTTTCAGAGGAGAACTGCTAAGGAGTCTGTTGTCAATACTTGCAATATGTCTGCTCAATACAAACCGGAGTATTGCACATGTAAATATGTTCCTTCTCTGCAAATTGTTGTATTATTTTTCTCTATTCTTTTATTTTTCTTATATAACATGCATTTGTTTATTCCATACTTATTTCTACATTTATTTATGTCAACTGTATGTTTGTCTGCGTGTAGCACCTTATCACTAAAAAAACAAATTCCTCTTATGTGTAGAACACTACTTGGCAATAAAGCTCCTTCTGATTGTGATTCTGGGGATCGCTTGAGAAAAACACCGGCACCTCTCAAACAAAGTCTACTTTACTGTCAACCAAAACTTCGGTGCAGTCACTAGTTTTATGGATGTTTGCAGTGGTGGAAATAAGTAGGCTTATATTTACTCAAGCACTGTAGGCCTACTGAAGTACACCTTTGAGGTACTTGTACTTTACTTTACAGCTGTAGTGAGGGAAATATTCTGCATTGTTCTGCACTACACACACTTATAGTTACATTTCAGATTACAAAGATAAGTGAATGTTTGAAAAACCAGCCACATTTGTGCATCAGAACTTTGGTTTCCGTCTCTCCTTTCCCATTAATCATCTCAAGACCCCTCAGATTTATCTGGTAACCCTTTGGAGGGGCCCGATATTTCTTATTAGTACAATATTAAATGCAGGACTTTAAGTTGTAATGGACTAGTTTGTTACATCCAGCCAGGAAATACTTAATCTGTCACAAAACTCAAATTCACATTACAGTGAAATGAATAAAAGCAGGAACACATATGAGAAACAAAATCAATAAATGTTTGGTATTTTTATACCTAATGTTGAGGAAGCTAGAGAGATTGACATTTACTTCAGAGTTTGAAACTGTAACTAGAAATAGTTGATACTTGATTATTTGCCAAACTGCATCAGAACAATGTAGCTAGATTACATGTAAAGCTCAGCCATGTGAGAGAACAGTATAATAACTGGACATGCATATTAACTTAAATCTGTACAAAAACAAAGAATAACTCTGATATAATGACCATTAGATGTGTTCTCCACCTGTTCAAAACAGCTGTAACATGGAACATTATACATCTAGCGTTATTTTTTAGTATTATTTTCCATTTTCCCCTCTCACCCCTCGAGAGAAAATCCATTTTGCTTTACATCATTAACAGTTTCAATATATGCTTTTAATCTTTAAAGAACAATTTGACCAGCAATTAAGTCACATATTTATGTCTAAAGCTCAAAATATAACTCACAACATGTCAAAGCATCACAGTTTTTTTAAATGCACTCACCGTGTGTGTGTGTGTGTGTGTGGAGCTGGTTGTTCGGCTGTGTGTCAGCAGACCGACTGAAGCAGCGGCAGAAAACAATTATCTGGAAGCTGATCTGGAGAACGGTGAGGGGTTTTTTTTCTCTTCTGTTTCTTCTTCTTGTGTTTAATTGGATGGCTGCGCCTCTCTCCAGGTATCCTGGTAACCCACCGACCTGCTGATGTCACTGCTCTCCATAATGAAGTGTGAGTGTATCTAGCTGCCTTTGTCAATAACCAGGCAGGAAAATTCACAGGAGATAAGAGCGACAATGAAGGCCACGTCTGGTCATGATGTGATTTAAGGTGCCGGGGACACACTCAGCTTCTCAGTCTCAGGTTATTATCACAGATTACAGTGTCATTACCTCAACGTATTTTCTTTCTACTTTTACAAAAATTACATATATGTTTTTAGTTTTGTCAGATTCCCTTTAGTTAAAGCAAAAACAGGACGATGCTGGTGTGTTTTTATAGACTTGATAAGATACTTTACTGTAGACCAGAGTTCTTTTAATTTTTTCCCAATCTTCCTTCCCTACAGACACACTATTAACAGTGTTAATAAGGTATTTTAAGTCGATATTGTTCAATGAATAAATCTTCGGATTGTAACACATTTAAAGCTGGGGTAGGCAACTTTGGAGAAACTAGCAAGAGGCAGCTAGACTTTGTGTGAGTGCACGAGCTGAGTGTGTGCAGGTAAGTAGGCCAGCCAATCATGCTGTGGGGATCATTGGCGGCCTTAGCTGTTTTTCACCTGTTTCAATTGAAATGGCCCTGACTGACACACAATAATTTAAATATTCACACACCCTTAAAATAAACTTCTTATGTCATTTAATGTGTAGAGGTATGGACGCCAAATACAATCTTAGACTGATAACCAATGAATCTGTCATTTTTAAAATGAATGTGTAAATTAAAGGGGAGGTCATGTACCCGTTAGAATCTTCTTAGTTGTTAATGAAGGGTTTTTTTTAATGAAGGGATCAGGGTTTAGGGTACATTCAGAATGGACTAAGTCTGGTAGTCTTCTCTTCGATCACTTGGCTGTTTGTGGAACGCTGCTAGCTACTAGGTTTTTGGCACAAGTTGTGGATAAGGCGATGCTGATTGATGTACATTAGCTGTGAAAGACATCAAGCCTAAAAACACATCTTACGGTGTATAGCATGTCAGAACTGGATGTGTTCAGAGCTGCATGGGTGGGCGGGATATTTGCATTTCAAAGAGACTCCCTGAGCTCTTTAGTTCATCAGCGTTGGACCTTCAGTGACCTGCCGCCTCCTTGAATCCCCCCTGTGATATTAATAACACCTGCCTGAGTTAACAGGAGCATCACCAAACCAGAAAGTGTAACATGCACTAAACAGCAGAAAACAGCAAAACCTGTTAAAGAGCATAACAAGAGAGGAAGTCCTGAAGGTGGCGCCAGAGGGAAGAAGAGTTTATCCTATATTTTCATTTTCTGCTGCTTTATACTTCACTACATTTTAGAGGGAAATATTGTACTTTTTACTCCACATTTTCTTTGCAGATTCAGATTAATAATATAAAATGAAAACAATTTAACAACATTTTTTTTAGTCATTATAACTTCCTCAAGCTGGAAACCAGGTGGGCTTTAAGAGGTTTTATACATCCGGAGAACTTCTATAAAAACCAGACCAGGCCTCTAATTTGGGAATTGACTTTAAAGAAACCTACAAAACTTGTTTTTTGTAAATCCTCAATTGTCATCTACAAATTGTTACTGAACTTAAAACATGTCAACTCTTAATATTGGATTGGAACCTCGGTCTCCTGAGTTTGCTTGATACACAGATTTTGTATTTTATAGCGTTTGTTTCTTGTGAGATCAGTCTGATTAGGTTCATGAAACCTTTTCTATTTTCTGTTCCGTTCTGACTCTGACTCCTTCATCCCTGCAACAGCAGCCATCGTCGCTGAACAGATGAAGAAAAGAGCACTTGGGTTAATTCTGCAAAAGCACTAAACAACAAAACTGATCACCTCTGGAGATTGTCTTGATTTAATTAAATTTTTTTCTGAGTGTGTCCCTTGGTTACATGGTTATTCTCTCCTCCAGGTAAACTGTGATCGCATCAGGTGCCTACAGAGTAGAAACCAAAGCCCTCAGGTTCCTCCTGGTTTGTTTGAGTGCAGAGCTCAGGGACTGTGTAATGAAGAGGAGTCTGGTCTCTGGAGGTCTGAAACAGCAGGAAGACACACCTGCAGACCTCAGCTTGATTGATTTCAAGTCTCATTTTAAACCTTCATCTATCTGGGGAAAGATGAGTAAACGCAGCGCGCAGCTCCAAACTCAGAACCTGCTAACGAATCAGCAGCTGGGGATCCAGTGCCTTGCTAAAAGGCACCTCCTAAGTGGGGGATAAGTGGTGGCGTAGACCCCCTCCTCTGTTAAGCGACAGCTTCTCAGCCTGGGTGTAGATGGCTTCCTTGACACCTCTTTCAAACCATCCATCTTCTCTGTCTAAAATGTGCACCTGGTGGTCCTCAAACGAGTGTCCTCTGTCCTTCAGATGTAAGTAGACTACAGAGTCTTGACCTGAGGAGTTGGCCCTTCTGTGTTGAGCCATGCGTTTGTGTCGTGGTTGTTTAGTCTCCCCAATATACAGGTCTGTGCATTCCTCACTGCATTGGACCGCATACACTAGATTGCTTTTCTTGTGTTTGGGGTGTACCAGTATCTGTCCAACAATCCAGCAACAACAAACCAGCGGGATCGAGGTTAAATAGCTGAGTGTCCCTCCCAGTCAGTCAGTCAGAAGTGAAGAAGTCTCTTGGATGAGGGACGAAATGTCTTCTAGTATCGTCGACCAAGTCCAGTTGCCCTTGACTTCAATTTTCTTTGGATAACTATGACCTGGATGACTGAGAACCTTCACAGATAAAAGGCACCTCAGAAGTGCATGTTGAGGAAGCCCGAGAGTTTCACATTTACTTGCCTTCATCTTTATGGATTGAAAATTGGTAAAAGTCAATATTAAAAATGACCCAAGTCCAATTATTTATTCTATTGTCCACAGAAATGCGAGGAAATCTTTCTCCAAAGGACACAAAGGAAATCGTTCTGTGTGTTTCCAGCTTTCATGATGAAAATATTTTACTTATGTAGGTATCAGGTTATTCTATTGTTTACATCCCCACTTCCCCCAGGACCCTGCATCTCCATGAAGCTTTGCAATCATCGCCATCCTCCACTTGTCCATCAGATGCCCTCAGATTTCAGTCACCTGACACCTACATGCACCTGTTTCCCTACAGTAGTTATCTTAACGTCCGCCTGCTCCTGGCCAGATCCGCCATGTTGCTCTCAGCGTTCGCATCCAGCCACCTATTGCCTGTTCCTAACCTGCTCACCACACATGCCCTCTCGTTCAGACTGCCATCCCGTTGCCGTTTCTGACCGTTGCCTTCAGTAAATGTGCCTTCCCTCTAACTGCTTGCCTTCTTTGTGAGTGTGTGTTTCTGCATTTGTGTCCTCTCCCCTCTGTTGCCTGATTCCACTAACTGTGACATGCTGTTTGTATATTTAAAAGAAGATATTGCAAGTCAAGAAGGTCAGAGTTTGTTGTAAAGACTGTGAAAATATGCAAGACCAAAAGTCGCGTACGTGATGTCATAACTAGACGATAGATGATGTGATGAAAGGTCATTGGATTAAACACAAATTCTACTGATGTCTGCCAAGTGTTATTCTTGATTAGCAAGCAACCCGACCAACAGATGGCGCTACATTAAAGTGTTTTCAAATTCTACAGATAAAATAGTCCCCTCAAAGAAATAACTTACAGACAGAAGATAACCTGATCTTCAACACACAGATGTGATTACATGAGATAACATATGTTTAATATGTATTACAGCAAACTTTACTTTCATAAATTTGTGGGATTAAATTTGTTTTGTATGAAACAATTCATACAGAAAAAGTCCTCAGGTTAGAAATCAAAATACGATTCATAACTTAAATTTAATACCAAAATATAATTCTAAAATGTAATCAGATAAATTTAACAATTTCTGTCCCAGAAGAGCATCTGACAAATGATCTTTACACAGTAGGCCTATTTAAATGTCCTTGTACTGGTGTATTTGAAATATTTCCATGTTTGACAGGACCACCGCTCAGAAGGGTAATTTGTTGACGAGGGGTATCTTCTTTTTCAGGGTCAGTTCGGAGTTGACCTGCTCGGCCGACAGCAGGTTGTGCCACTGAGCGATCGGCCGCCGTGGGTTGGACAACATGTCGGCCCAGTGCTTCAGCTGGTTCCCCGACGCGTTGCAGCCCAGGAAGATCTTCCCTATGGCGTCGTTCCGCGTCATGGTGTCGTGGTCCCACACAGAGATCACCAGGTTCACCTTCTGCGGACAACAGGACAAAGTCTTTAGTCTCATTTCACTCAACTAATTCACTTATCTGGTGGTTTGCCCACCTCAGTCTGCTGGTGTTGCTCTCCATGCTAGCAGCGCTCTACAATGCGAGCATTTCGCTGCAAAATAGGTGAATGAAAAGTGACATTATTCTGACACCCACAAAACAAAATACACAGATTTGCTCCTAACTCCTAATTATACTCATAATCAGAGGTGGAAAGAAACAAAGTTCAAATACTTTGCTACTGTACTTAAGTAGTTTTTTCCCGTAGTTGTACTTTACTTGAGTATTTTTAGCAAATAATGCCCAACCCAACCAAACAGCCACCGCTTCACATCGTCAACAAAGCCTCTGGCGCTTAACTTCCCATTGGGGTCACAGAATCTGATAGGTCACACATTTTGGTGTCACACCGGAAAGGGGGGTCCGATTTGATCCGCCTTTCAGCCGGCAATGTTGGTAGTAACAGAGGCGGAACAATGTCTGTGTGAAAAGCCACGGTCGGCAGGCTGAAACAAGAGTGACGCTTCAACACTGTTATGTTTCAAGTCGCGGTCACGTTCTAATACTGAAAGTCCACTGTTTTGTTAGGTCCCCATCAACGTCCACTGGAAGTGTCTCAGCATTGACCTGTTGTTTATTTGTCATTTTTGTGCTTCTACTAGCTTCTTCACAGATCTCCGTGAGCGTGTTTTGTTCCGTCGCCTGCAGGCTGCATATCCACAGGGAGCATTTCAGAATCAGAGCATTTTGCCTGCCCAGTTTTGCTGACATGTTTAGATTTTGTTTATTTGGTAGTACTTGTAGTAGTGCTTGCTTTAGTGCTTCTACTATGATTAAGTAGGCTACGTAGTTAAATGGTTACTTTTAAGTCTGTTTTAACAGTGTTACGGTTGCGGGTTTAATATTTTTTCTGCGTTTACTGCAGGATTTCTGTGTGAAAGTGGTTACTCTTGCACAGAGCTGGAGGGCACCACCTTGCTCTCATGTCAAAGGTGAAAGCGAGTGTTTATGTGTAGCCAATATCAAATGTTTCTCGCTGTTTTCTCGTTATAGTGCTCCCTGCAGCCGGGGTCTGTACTCCAACAAAGATTATTTGTGAAGGAACAACCCCAAGTTTTTTTGTAGGTCCAACAAATACAACAGAGTGAGACGTCTTCTCTTTTAGCTGATCACAATATGTCCACAATAAATCAGTTTGTTATGATGAATTATCTCTGTTTTTCGTAGTTTTTATATTTACTGGCAGAGCCCACCATCCCTACGCTGGATATAAATTTTTTACACACATGGGATTGACAGGAAATGATGCAGAGAGGGTTACTGTTTGTAACTGTACCTCAGGAATATCAGCCTCGCTGTTCACTGTCCTGTGCTGTATCAGAGCTGGATTATGTTATTACTAATGCTAACACAACATTTCCTGCTTCTGCTGCTTCCCATTAAAAGTGACATTAAGCAAATGTAATGTTTTGTCACCGAGGTTGGTGCTAACTGCAATATTTCATCAAAAATGGCAATTTTGGTAATTTTTTCAACAGCGGATGAGTTGTAACTCTGTCAGGGATTAAACGAAGAGTCGGGAGCAGCCACAGCGAGCTCACCAACTCCTTTTACTGTTACTGCATGAAATCAGATCACGATTGTTCATGTCATGATGGAAAAAGCATATTATTGACTGACTTTTTATTTAAACAACCTGAGATAGTTTGGCTTCACAGTAAACAGATGCACCCGCTGCTCTTCTGTTCTATTTCTGTATTTTATCAGTCAGGACAGAATTCATAAAAATTACAACTTAAACCATTTTCTCATTTCACTCTAGTAGTTTCAATCCAGTCAGAAAGTTTGGGTTTTATTTGTCTCTGAGATTACTGCTTTCATCCTCAGATATACTGCATATATGTACACAATATGTTTAGGTTTAAAATAAATATTATTATCGATATCAGTCTAAAACATCCTCTCTATTTATTATCTCATGACACTCACCTGGATTTGTTCAAACGACACGTCGAAGGTGAAGGACTCGTTGAAATAAGGGTTCAACGTCTTCTTTTTAACAGACGTCTTCCTTTTCTTCCACTTTCTCTTGTCCAGAGCCAACTGCACCTTCACATAAGGATCTGCAAATACCAAGTGGAGGTTAAATTCATGCGCAAAAAACCCCAAAAAATACATATTATTAATTAATGATTAAACAACTCACAATGTTAAGAAATAATTTGAATTTAATTTAAATTGTTGTGCAGCTGGTGATTTATTTGGGCTTCAGGCACTGAGGGCTTCTGCTTACACACTAACAATGTTATCTAGCTCGGTGCACTAAACTAAATAGGTAAATGTTACATTCACTAAACAAATTAGAAAGATCCTCTACAAAACAAAACAAACCTTGTATCAGAGAAACAATAATTTAATTTTAAACATAAATGCTGGCTGTAACTCATTCCTGTTTTTATTATATATATTATAATATTTTCTTGATTTGTTGTCATATTCTACTTCTCTGCCAGTAATAGTTACAAAAATGCAAATATGCAATCGTTCACATAATGTCAACAGACTTTAGTTTAGCAGATCAGCCATCTTTTTATTGACCGTTTCTTTGTTGTCGCTTTGTTGCCATCTGCTGATAAGGTTGGGAACCGAAAACAGGTTTATACAAGCATGCATGGCTCACAGCAAGGACCGCTCAAAAGTGTGGTTTCATTTCATTAAAGAAAACAAAGCAAAGTGCAGTGCATGTGGGAAGCTCATCAGCCGCACGTCTGGTTTCACATTAAACTTGAGCAAACATATAAGACAGCACGGCGTCGATGTGAAGGAGTGTTTGATGCCTTGTGGCCTCCTAGCCTTTTTATTTGGCAATAAAGGGAGAAATTACTAAAAAGAAAGCTGAAGAGTGTCAAAAACCACAGCATCCACAACAAAACATATGGACTGACGTTTTTATTGTATATTTTTACTTCGTGAATGTTCAGTTAAAAATACTTTGAATTTACTTATTTTAATGAAACAATAAAAGTCAAGGTAAAGCTTAAGAATAAAGATATACTGTAATCTAAACATTTTTTATTGTATAACAGTATAATAAACAATATTGGAATTAAAATCAGATACCTGATACCCAACCCTACCGCTGGACCAGTAGAGCTGGAAAGGGCTAATATTGTGGTTCTGACTGTTGTGGGTCCTACAGGGGCTACTGTTGGACAGCTAGATGTAAACAGGAAGAATTTAAATAATGTACGAGCTGAAAGTACTGTGTGTCCCCCTCAATTATTTATTTCTCAGTGGAATAAGAGCGTCTAAAAGTCTCTCTGCTTCTCTAACGATAAGCTGCACAGACCATCACTCACTGTCTCATTGTTTTATTGTTTCTTTTTACAGCCGTCCACTTGTATTAGAAGGTGTCAGGGTCAGGAATTATTAGTGTGTGTATATATATTGTAGCTGGGAGAGAATAAAAATTACTTAATTAAGTAATGTTAAAATGCTGAAATGGTAAAAACTAATTAATTTGCTCATTTGAAATATTTAATAATAATTTATTGAGTCTGAGTGAAGCTTTGTGGCTGGTGTTGTGCAGCGCCCTCTTTTGACCGGAAGCCACTGACGGTAACTCTAAGCTAATCTAATCATCTGAGAACTGAATGATTTCGGTAGGAGATCTTGTCTCAGTCTGACCTGAGCTTCCTCCGATGTCCATGCTCTTCAGGTCTTTGGCCTCCAGGATCACCACAGTCAGTTTGCCGGCAGTGGGAACGTAACGCAGGGAGAAGCAGATCTCCCCCAGGTTTTCATCCTGCGTCGCACAGACGAGACAATCGGCAAAGACAAAAAAAAGATCAGCAAACAATTTAAGTAAAATAAGTAACCGATAAAGGTAAATGTACTTGATAGCACAACATGACACATGGAGATGAGTAAGGAAATCGAGTTGCAAGATCAGATTAATTAATACAGATTCTGGAAATACTTTCAGAATGGAAAGCTGTAAGTCTTCTGCTGGAAGGGTTTTGGAAAGAAGACCTGTTTGTCTTTCAGGAAAAAAAACTGTAGGTCTCCTGATTAAATGTAATGATCTCAGCAAAGGCGTCGATGAGTACAGTAACTTATAGGAAGGCTCGCCCACACTACCAAACACAAGATGTTGGTTGCAGAAAAAGGACTGCTGAACACCTCGCCAGCCACCATCACTCGCTAAGTGAAATGTACAGAGTGTGAAAAGGGGATGGAGGAAACCTCAAACTTGGCGGGCTCTGCGAGGTCCTGCCACTCCTCGATAACGTGGTTCCAGTCGACGTCGCAGAGCTGCAGCCTCAGCTCACCGATGATGTTGTGTTTGGAGAATCTGTTGAAGTCATACACCTGCATCACCAACGTCGACTTTTGGAGGGAAGACTTCGATATCTGGGAAAAGATCATTCAGGTTAGAAGACTCTCTTATTTTACTTTCTTCTCCTTTCTGTTCTCTTCACTTCCGGTCTCTGTCTTTCCTTCTTGTGTTGATTATTTACTTCTGTCCTGATTAGTTTCACCTGTCCCTTGTTATCATCACCCGTCTCCATGTAAAAGTCAGTGTTTCCCCCTTGTCTTTTGTCAAGTCATACCTATTGTTTATGTCAAGCGTTCCAACCCTGTTCCTTGTGTCTTTCCTGTGTTGCCTGTTGGATTTGGATTATTACCTATGCCATTCTGGATTTGTTTGCCCTTTGTTTGGACTGTCTGCATGATTATGGACCTTGGCCTGCCTCACCCAATTGTAAGCTTGTTCATTTTGCGTTGAACTGATTAACAAACACTATAAACTGTACCAGACCCGCCTTGGCATCTGCATTTTGTGCTGTTTTTAAATTCTTAGCTACTTCATCCAACCAAATTAAGGACCTCACATGATCAATTAAGATTAACTGATCGTTAAAAGAAGAAAAGAGAGTTCCAGAAGACTATATTGCGACATTAGAGGATTGTAACAGCTCCTAAATTTCTGTGGAGAAGGCGCATATTTTATTTTGAACAGATAATACTTTTTGTTTATATTATACTTCATACTGAAAACGATTGTGTTTGTAATCATTTTATTTCAGTTTTTCACAGTGTTTGCTGGTCAAAAGAAGATTATTTGTGAAAAGGAACAAATTGTAAATACTGGTCAAACATCAGTCGGACCGTGGCTTATCTGTATCAGAGGAAAAGCTTGGGAGCAGTTTTAGTACCTACCGTGAAGTTGAATTGTTCGTTGAACACGGGGCTAAGCGTGTGTTTGAACACTTTGGTCTCGCAGGTTTTGTTTTTGTCTGGGCAGATGTAGACTTTGACGTACGGGTCCGAGCTTCCTCCCAGGTCCATGGCCTTCAGACTTTTGGCTTGTTTGATCCCCACAGTGAGCTGTAGAGACAAAAAAAAAGAAGAACTAACAAACCACCGAAATCAGTCATCTTGACAATGACCCCACAGAGGTCGCTGAGTTTCCCCACCAGTCAGCAAGATCTCTTGGATGAGAGACAAAACCTCTGAGGACTCAACCGAGTCCAGTTGCCCTTGGTTTTAACCATCCTTGGATAACTGTGAGCTGGATGAATGAGAACCTTCACCAACAGTTAGAAAGAAGTGAGATCACCAGGCTTCGGCTGCAGGCTACATTCTTCAGGGTACATTAGCTACTAGATAACACACCTAAATCTTTGACCAAACTGTCGGTGGTCAAGTTGCAGTGTCGGTAATGCAGGCAACAGAATTTCACAAGGAAGAAAAACGTATCTCTGCTTCTGCTGCATCGATTCAGATTTAAAAACTGTCCTTCGTGTGACGGACAATGTTACAGGAGTGCAGTGCTAAACCGGTGGAGGCTCTGTGGTAAGACATGCTGAACTGTTAACAACTGATTCCAGGTTTAATCACCTCAGACTGAGCGCCGTTGTATTCCAGAGAGTAGAGCAGCTGTCCCCTTTGCTGTTTGGCCGATCCATAGTCCACGTCCCCCACACCTGGCTGAACCTATCAGAGCACAGGGAACACATCAGTTTAGACCTTTCCAACCGGTTCACATAGTGATTGTTATTATACAATAATTGATTGATATAGAATTGCAATACTTTTCATGCAGAGATACAATAAATCATTCATCTTCATGCAGGATTGAGTCTCTCTGTTTATGTTTGTGTTAGTCCAAGCTAAATGAATGATTCACTAACAACTAAACTGTACATATCATCAGACCAGGGCTCGAGACTAATGGCGTCCTGTCGTCCTGGGGACGATAGAAAATATGTTTGGGATGAAGAGAAATATTCTGTGGGACACCTCATGCTGTTACTACAGTGTGTGAAGCTATTAAAGTGCAGGAGTTTCTAACTGAATTAAAATTAAATCATTCATCATTGAGGTAAAAAGGTGCCCCAAACAGATAACGTTTCAGTTTGTTTTTAAATATTTTTGTTTGAATCAAGTAAAGAAAATATTATTTATTTTATATAATTATCATTTATTATGTCACTAACAACTATAGAGGATAATAAAGTAAAGGACGGTTCAAATAATTTTTCTGGACGGTTCCCGGACGGAGGTGGAAAAAAGTTTGTCTGGAGCCCTGCATCAGCTTGGCAGAGGGCGATGTCACTCACCAGAGCTGTGGTGGTTTTTCCGTTCACTCCATCCAGATTGATCTTCTCATTCTTCTTGTTCTGCTTCTTCTTCTTTCCTTTGCAGCAGCACTTGCAGCAGATACACAGACAGCAGAGCAGAATCAGCAGAGCACCGGCCACAAAGATGGTGTAAATCGCCCATCGAGGCACTGCAGGAGACAAGATACGTTATTTATTGTGTCATGCACATTCAAGTGTCCAGCCCACAGGCACTTATAAGACACCAAAACATTAAAGTGGTCGAATTGTGCTCATTATGCAGCTTTTATTTAGGGGTTGAATAGGTTAGGATAGAGTAGGTTTACATGGTTGTAATTTTCAAAAAACACCATATTTTTGTCACACTGCACTTTGCTGCAGCACTTCTTTTCACCCTGTGTGTTGAACGCTCTGTTTTAGCTACGGAGTGAAGCATCTCACTTCTAAAAGATCTTTTTTGGTAGCTGCAATTGTGCAGTATGGCTTCAGTCCAGCTGTACATGATCCTGAAACACAGGCAGAACAACCCGAACCGGCTTCTTAACCTAGACTGGAGCAGGACGTTTCAGAGTGGGAAGTTATTAATTCCAAAACAAATTTATTTTTCATACCTAATGTTTTGCCTGAGCTCTGTCTCTACATCACAATAACAACTTTATGTCCAGGGTAGCTAACATTATTTAAATTTCATACTCCACTACTCATACTTCCACTATACTGCTCCTAAATTTTACCCACTGACTCCTCAACACAGAGGAAATTCTCCCTCACACCAACGAATACAGCGTCTCCTACCACAGATACCACTAGCTGAACGCTTCGGACCTCCGCTCTAACTAGCCTGGTTTGATGGTGTTCCCCACTAACCGCTAGGCAAGCATTATGATGCATGTTACAAAGTGACGCAGATAGTTTACGGAAGTAAAAGCTGGACCACAATTGAGCTGTAATCAGGCATTTCAGGAGTGGGAGATGGTAACTCCCTTTGGGGAGGATTAGCAAAACTATTACATACACATATACAATAAATAACACAATAAAGGAAAGGAAAAAGGCCAAAAAGCATTACATGGCCTCTTAAAAGGACAGGATCCCACTTGAGTACTGAAACTGCTTTTTCTTGTTGTAATTATTCTTCCAGTTCATCCGGTACTAACTGCCCTCATTCTGCGATTGCGAGCCGGAGGGGGGGGGGGGGGGGGGGTTACCCAGCAGTTTATAAAGTAATTGAAATTAGCTCCACATTGACCAGCTGCAACATAAAGTGATGGACACATTAAGGCATCGATAATTATAACCCAGTTATATATTATTCTGACACAGGGCACCTTCTGTATACGTAGGCTTTTAAATGCATGGCTTTTACTTGGGTGGCGTGGATAGTTTGGAGGTGGAGGAGGGTTCAGGTGAAGCTGCTGTTTTGTGACTTACAGGGGATCTTGTCCAGCAGGTCGTTGAAGAAGTGGACTGCGGCGACGGCGACCGGGTTGGCGGTGGTGTTAGTGTGGGCAGAGGTGGGGTGAGCAGTAGGATGAGATCCTGATGCATGAGGTAATGGATGAGAGGAATTTAGATGTGGGTGGATGGTAGGCATGATGAGGAGGAGGAAGAGGAGGAGAGGAGCTCTGAAAGAAAGAGAAGAGAGTTTTAGCTTGTGATAAAATATGATAAATATAAACTGACATCAGCAGTAAGTGACTGAAATGATATAAATAAATAATATAAAGCTGCAGCATCAAGGTGTGACAGATAGTTCTTGGAGTAGTGCTCAGTCTGGATTTTGGTCGTCTTAGTCTGTGTTGAAGTCTGAGGTTTATCAGTGTTTTTTCTGACTTTGCTCCTGGAAAACACCTGAAAGTGTGCTGAATCTCTACAGAAACCGTGAGGTGTTGTCACAAGTCTTACCTGCTGCCTTGTATGTTTTTTAACTCGGTGATTTGGAAGTTTATTCTTCAGTTTTGAAAAAACTTTGTTGCTGTTTTATTGCCTGGTTTTACGTGATGCAAAAAAATCTAATACAACTTTGATTGTATAATCACTTTGTGAAGTTGCTCTGGTTATCTGCAGACACAGAGCAGCATCCTCATCCCACTGGATTTGTGTTTGTGTCAAGTTAACATACCTCCAATCATTTAACTCAACAAACTGCATGTTTATTTAAAACATTTCACACTAAGGGAACTATCTATATTGGATTTTCAGTAAACTCATGTTGCATTAAACTCTACTGGACTCACTGAAACGAATTATGACGTGTGTGAGACGACCTGAAGGCATCTGGCCCTGTTTTTCTCTCACACAATGATAAATCTGCGGTGTTATGTTTTTCAACCATGTATAATTGTTGAAACACACAGTCAGGGTTAATATGATGTTAGAGTCAGTTGCAAAGGTGCTTCTCCAGCCATTGCTAGGTTTGGGTATAAGGAATCAGTTCCATGTTAAAACCAAACTTCCAAGTGTGGTGGATTCGATAAGACACATGCATTTTGATTCTGCTCATCGGTTCTTTCCCCACTTCTCGAATATTGTCGTGCTCTCGACTGAACTGCAGTGAGCATTTTACAGTCCATAAAGCATGAAGAAGAGCCTCCTTCTGTTTGCATTCCTGGACCAAGGCCAAGTTCGGCTTAGCTTAACTAAAAAATGCAGCTCCAACACGACGAAGCGTTTACGTCAACATGGCGTGAATCTGAAGGAACGCACAGTGTTCAACGTGTCGCGCTCTCCCAGCTACAATGACGCCCCAGATACAGCTAACGCTAACGGCAACGTTTCAGGTACAAAACACAGGTGAGCTGACGTTCACCTTTTATACCGAAGGGAAACAAATGATGTCTACAAATGATTCAATATATATTTTTCTTAGAGACGAGTCACCAGAGACGCCCCTCTAGTACAGAGACTCCTTTCACTTTCACACATGAGCAAGGAGGAAGAAGATGAAGGATGAAGGTCACCGAGCACTGACATAGATGAAGAAGAAGAAAATACCGCTATAAATGTTGTAAAACCTTTCACTGTCGCGCTTTGTTTGTGCAGTGAAGGAGTTGGACCGTGAAAACTCCTGAACTTGAGGTTTCCCAACAACAGTGACATACAAAATCAAACAAACATCAGAGCCTCCACCATGAACAAACAGTAGCAGCACATTAACTCACAGTCTGATTCAAACTCTGATAACAACTCTCCTCACAATGCTTCAACACTGTTCCTGTGTCGCCCGCCTGAGGAATCCATTTTAACAAATCAACGGGCCTGGAGGCAAAACACACACACATAACTGTACCTGTACTGCTGCTTCTGCTACCTAGCCCTATCTAATCCTGATTGTAAAACCAAGTCTGAACACTCAAACTAAAAAGTGTGGACTGTCCCCTCTTTCCAAATGTCCTCCCTTTCTAAAAAAAACTTTCCAAAAGCAATCCTCACTGTTCAAACATTTTTATTGGTCCTCTCCAATGTAGATATTCAAGACTACACGTAAACATGAACACAAAACATACTTTAACTACAGGAAAAAAATCTACATTGGTTTCAAAAGTACTGTGAGATGTTTTTCTCCTAAACTCTGCTAATGGCTGGTGCACACTACAGGAAATCTTAACGACAGAATTTACCATTGTTTAATATTTTAAATGGAGGCCAGTCAGTCCCCCGTAACTACAGCATCATTTGGGCCGATAATCAATTCCAGCCAGCCTCGGCTCGTTAAACACCTCACGATTGTCAGGAGGTGAAGCTGACCCGTGATAGGCCCAATCCTCTAGTGTGCAGCCAGCATAAAGTGTTTCTGATTAAATTAAAGTTTGTTAATCAATTATTTTTACAATAACAACATATAGTTTGCATAGTTTTAAGTGAGTCACGTGTTTTAAAGGAGTACCACAGTGATGTAGTATTACACTTTCATAAAGTCAGGGTACTCACAAGAGGCAGATTAAAACAACAATTGTCACAATGGGTCAAGCCTAAGAAAAAAATCTTTGGTTCCTACATTTCCCATAATGCAACTAACGACATCTCTTAATGACTGTTTCCTGCCTGCATGTTAAATCCCCTCAGCTCCATGCCCCAGTCATATATTTTAATTCTCAAGCCTAAAGTGGCGGTCGTTCGTTCACATGAAGTAAGCGGTTGCTGCGAACTTCATGACGTCGTGTCTACTCGCGGGGTTAGTGGGGAACGGCTGTCGCTGGCGAGCTAACCATTAGCTCAGTCACAATAGCTCCCATAGCTTCTCTCCACTTTCTTTTACTTCCCCCTGACATTTTTGCTAGAAACAAAAGTTATTGATGAGGGGGAAAGAATCTAATGGGAAAATAAGATAAATACGTTTGTCGACTCCTGTCTCGGAACTGTCTGCAAACCATTGCTCTTTTGTGGAACAGTTTTTACCTCGCTTTTTTTGTTTTTTGGATGACTTTCTGGGGTTTTCATTGCCAACAAATTATGTTTTAGAGAAATAAAGGGTATACATGAGAGGCAGAGACCGGGGTTAAAGCATGTATGACCAACCTGTTCTCATCCCAGGGTGTCACATATGGACACTTGGTCAAGACCACTTAGTGTTGCCTTTTGACAACCTGGTACTCTTTAGCATCGTTTTTCTATATGTAGGGCTATGCGGTCAAGTTAGCAAGAATAAATATACAACGTCTGGTTAGACTTTCTAAATAGAGCTAGTGGTTAATGTCGTGAAACTTCACATTGAGGTTTGGTTTAGGCAACTACTAAGTTTGGGTCAGGAAAAGATCGTGGTTTATGTGACTTAACTTACGTGAGTTAAGTCACGTAACTAAAAACAATCAAAGTTGACTTTTTGTTTCACACAGGAAAAGAAACACCCGTCTCTGGGTGGAAGTCCGGTTTCCGATCCACCCGTCCACCCCATCCACCTCCTTACTCAGACCTTTCTGTTAGCTCTAATAGGCCTACTTTTACTGTTTAATAAAGATGCTATAGGGCTTCCCCCCCGTACGTTGAACTGTGACGCTAAAGGTTGCAATGTACGTTGGTATTAGACGCCGAAGGACATGACAATGATACTCTGGGAATAAGAAAGTGCTGGTATGACAGCAGTGAGCTCTCTTTTTAAAGGACATGTGATCACCAATCAACAGAAAACAATAACACCTGTACACCTGCAGGAAGATCCTCCACTACCAACCCCACATAATAATATATATAAAAATTTTTTAAACATAATGAACAAAAGATGCATTTCCATCCTCCCTGCCATGATGTGGCTATTTTCATCTGTTATTAGCCATTAATCCCAGTCTACATCTAGTGTCTTTACTACTAAATGCACAGCCAATACCAACCACTCGCCTGGTGAAGTCCAAACCTACAAGATAAACAAGTGTCTTATAGATAAAAGCTGTAAGTGAAATATTTTACTTACTAATGATGTTACAGAAACGTCGACATCCCTATTCGCTCCACCGGGGGACTGGCTAGGGCTAAAGTGTTCCTGGTCTGTGCTGCTCAGAATAAAAAGGAGCCGTGTTGGAGAACGAGTGAAGAGGAAGGAGGTGACGTCCAACAGAGAGACTGGCCTGCACTTTTCCTAAAAACAACCTTCAAACTGTTTGATCATAAGGAGGAAACATCTCCTCCCTCCATCTCCATCTGCTGTAATCAGCAGGAAAACACATAATCAACACTCCATCAGGCTTCAGCAGGAGTCCGTTTTTTTGTCTGTAAACGGTGAAAGTGGTCGTTGACAAAACAAGTTCACTTCCTGTTCTGAAGCAGAGAAACTAGAGTCCAAATCTTTACTTAAAGATTCAAAATGTAAACAAAGAGTGGCCCTGCCCACTTTCAAAATTCAGACAGTAACACACTTTAACAAAATGTTTAGATTGTATTTATATACACCAGAAATGTAGAATATTGATGGACAGAGCTGTACATCCTGGTTGATTTGTAATCGGAGTATAGCCAGGTCGTCAAACACCATTGTTTTGTCACACCTATGCAGACGCATAAGGTGCCCTTAAGCATCCGTACAGGATGCCTTCAGAAACTACTTAACGTAAGAAATCACCTGACGTACTGTAACTTAGAAGTTTGGTTAGGCTTACGCAACAAAACTACTTGGTTATGTAGTTGGAAGTCACATGACATAAGTGACAAAACTTTAAATAAGTCAACGTTGACTTTGTTTCACAGGGACCCCGCTGAAAGTCCTCTGTTGTGGAACAGCAGCTACTGTTATTGTTATAGTAACTAGTGGGCTGTGGCGGTTTTGGGGGGGCGCCAACAGGTGCCAGTACCCCGGTTACACAGACCTTGGACCTCCCTATGGCCCCCCTCTAAACAAAAAGTCTACAATAATCATAGTAATATATCTTCCTTGCGATGATATGGCGCTGATGCGAAAGGTGGAACAACTGTGTCTCAACTAGTCGGATCCTTTATGACGTTACGCCGCCACTGTCGTACCAAGGTAGTTATCCCTGATAGAAAGTGTTCCCCCTGCTGTGGGAGGAGCATTATGTGTTACTGAACTTTGTATTATTCATTGCACTGAATTGAGAATGTCTAAACAAAAAGAGCAGTTTCAGTTTCCCTCGTAAAGCAAGATAGTCGGACGATGTTATGTTTATTTTTTATTTTGGCTCCCGCAATGGGTATGGGGACGTCCCATCCCTGTGCGTTGAGCCGACCAGATGAACCGTTTTTTTCCAGTGCTGACGATCTTGAGCCAGCTGCTCTGCATCCTCCACAGCAACTCCGTGTTGTTGGAAGTCGCCCGCGAGGACGTCGAGCCATCGGGTGCGGGGTTTACCTCGTGGTCGTCTCCAGCCTGCAGCTCTCGGATCAAACTGGAGAATGGCTCTCGTTGGATGGTCAAGAGGGAGGCGGAGGACATGGCCAAACCAGCGGGTGCGGCGTTGTGCGGCCAGATGCTCTGGGCTGGCTGCACTTGATAGGAAACCCGCTGGGGCCACCTGATGTTCTCTATGGTCCTGAGGGCCCTGCTGTCAAAGCCATCTAGTCTTGCAGCCAGTGTCTTATTTAAAGGCCAGGTCTCGGAGCCATAGAGCAGGATGGGGAGTATGCTAAGTTATAAATCCGGAGCTTCGTCCTGCGTGAGATGGTATGGTGCCGCCAGAGTGGTTTCCAGAGAGACTGCAGAGCTGACGCAGTCAGGGCTCTTTTGCGGGTAATCTCTGGTTTTAGGTCCCCGTTGTTTGTCACTAGGGATCCCAGATACACAAAATTGCTGACGGGTTCTACTGTATCGTTGCCAAACCGCAGGGGAGTTGGATACGGTCCGTCACCAACATACATGAACTTGGTTTTTGTCCAGCTTACCTGGAGGCCAAGCTTCTCAGCCTCTTCACTGTATATGCCCAGAGCTCCTCTCAGCTGGCTGAGGGACGTGCTGAGCAGGATGGTGTCGTCAGCGTATTCCAGGTGAGTCAGATAATAACTGCCGAAGGCCACTCCGGGGACCCGCTCACAAACCCTAGACATCAGACGGTCAATGATGCAGTTGAAAAGGTCAGGAGCAGCCACACAGCCCTGTCGAATGCCGCTGAAGATGGGAAACCAGTCTGAGTCTCTGCCGTTAATACGGACACAGCTCTCTGCGTTACTATAAAGCAACTTAAACAGGGTAATGATCTTGGGTGGTGCTCCAAGGGCGTGTAGGATACTCCACAGTGAAGTGTGGCAGACGGTGTCAAAGGCAGCCTTCAAGTCTATGAACCCGAAAGATGGCGATCTTTACGGAATTCATAGGTCTTCCCTATCAGCAAGCGACGATGGCGATGTTATAACTGACCACGTAATTGATCACTTAGTCATCCATGTTACTGTTTGGCATCCAGACTGTCACATTTTTCAAGTAAGCTGCTCCTACAAATATCTACGCCATCACTGTACGTTAATCAGTTTAACCCATTGCTCGCCTCAACGTTACATCTACTGGACTCAAAATGTACATTAAACTGAATGCAGCATTGTTGACAATATTTTGTCCTCCTCCTTAAAGGGTAAATTATTATCATAACAATTTAATAATGCATTTAAACTGCACTTTTCATACACAGAAAGCCATAACAGTAGCCTACTGGTCCTACCAGGCTGGACATGCAGTCTGCCAAACTATGTATCCCCCTCCATACTGCACAGATGATGGCCTACTGTCAAGTATTTTGTTTTGTTCATACTTCCCATCAGGACTAATAACAGGGGTGAATATGGAGAAGTCTCTATTTTCCTAACAAAAATTATAGTGGGATACAAAATACAAACGGGGATCCAGAGGATGTCTAGTACACTAGAGCTTATACTGTTCATTAAGCCTTACAAAGAAGTGTTGCATCTTTTTTTTGTATAATTGTAATTTAATAAAACTATAACTAAGTCACTGAAAAGATCCTGTTACTGAAACAATAACTGTAAGTTACTGAAACATACTAAAACATCACATTATATACTATATAACAAGACATTTTGAAAGCTTGAACATTGCCATTGTCTCTTTTGTCACGGATTGAATGTGGCCCCTCTGACAAAACAACTGGGCCCCGCCTGGCCCCCTCAATAAAACTGGTCTAAAACCGCCACTGCTAATGGGGATCTACTGTAAATAAAAAAACAAACAGTTTCAGTTTCTAAAGGCAGAACACGGGTAAAGTGTAACAATCGTAAACCCACCAGCGGTGTGAATTTTCTTTTTCTGAGTGGAACTTCCACTCTAGCTCATCAACGATTTCTGTCACTTTTCATGTGAACAAAATAATGCATGTAGGAGACACGTGCGACATGTGGGAAAATGTGCACACTCCATGAGCTTCCAGTGTGACCGTATCAGGTATGAACACCATCATCCTACGCCCAATAATTAAGGCAGCGTGTGCATCATTTTTAAAAAATGTTTAATGTTTAAAATAAAGTTACATCTTATCTTACATCTTATACTGAAACATGGCAAAGAATGGAGATGCTTCAGTGACATTTATTAAAAAAGCATTGCCTTACTAACTTAAAAGGTAACAGCCGCTGCAAGTCTTCTTTGTGCTCCTGTGGTTTAACGTCTCATCTTGATGTAGACGTGTATCAGTGCACAGTGACAGCACTGTTGGGTTTAACTTCAGGTTCAACTAGAGAGGGCAGTGAAACACTGATTTTCTGTGTAGGATCTCGGTCCCACGCATCAACATGTAAAGAGCCACTCAATATGTTTTATTACAAATGTCATCTGAAGGTCTCTTTATCTTTAGTAAAGAAACCTCAGTGGTTTCACGGCTGTATGAAGACCCATGAAGTGGAAATAATAAAGTGCAAGAACTTCAGAAATGTACTGAAGAACTCAAATAAATAAGTAAGTAATAATTTCCACTGCTGCTGCTTCATGACAAGAAGAGAAACTCTAAACTGTAGAGTTTCACTGCAGTTCGTTAAAGGTTCAAAGAGTTTTATCATCACACAGATGAAACGTAAATGTGGCTGAAAAACAAGTTCCCTTCGCTGGAAGTCCACAAACAGCTAAAAGCTGTTTACACATTGCACACACTGACAAAGCATTTGTAGATTTAAAGATAACACCGTGGATTAGTTCTGTTGTAGATGGCTTCTTTTGAAATGTTTTCTAGTTCAATTTGTGGAACAGACCATCAGGCTGATCTTAGTCGTAGTTTAGTGTTATATAAGGTCCTATCGTGTTGTGTGGATGTTACAGTTAATCAGTCCATTAAAGGAAAATAGAAATGTAAAGTAAAAGAGTAAATAACAGCCAGAAAAGCTGCATTTGAAACAAAAATAAGAAGGTAAGAAAGGAAAGTAAGGAAATAGGGAAGGAAACAAAAAAGGACTCATAAGAAACATAACAAATTTAAGAGAAGGATGAACATGAGGCAAGAAGAGATGACAGAAAAAGCAATAAAGAAAGTTAGTTACTGAAAAAGTTACTGTTTGTTGTGTTTTTGGGGATTTAACCACAAACAACACAACATGAGCCAGTTTCCACATCAGACACATGTATAAACTGTAGTATTAACTAGGTATTGTTACTGTGTATCATATACTTTTACACACTTTATCTGTCAATATGACATTATTAAACAAGAAAACAACATTAAATGGATTCCCCCGACTGTACCTGAGTGTAACGATGAGAGTTTCTGTCCAGAAGTTTTATTTTCTTTCATTTAAATCTCATTTCTTCTCCTTTTGTTCAGTCGGCTGTTAAATGTTGTTTTTCTGTCCTGCTGAACTTCAGTCGGCCATCTTCACCTCTCTTCAAGTCTGTCTACTTGTACCTGCAGCCACCACACCTGCTGAACACACACACTCAGTTACCTACGCAGTCAGTATTCAAACAGAGGTGGAGTCGCTGCTGCTAAAATAGGACTTATTCAAATATGTGTCATCGAACAGAACTAGAGCTACTGAAACAAGAATTAAGTGTGTTTGCTGCGGCCATTAAAGGGAATAAAGGACCTCCTTTAATTAAGGAGTACTTTTGATGCAAAGATTAAGCAGGTTGATAGCGTTCCTTATTAGACTACAGATCTTTTGATGTTGTTTTATGTTTTTTTACCATTTAATCCATCCATGTTTGTATCTTCCAAATTTATTCACTCGTAATTTTCTAGTTTGTGGTCTTGTTAGCGGCTTCATGGAGGGAAATGTCAGTCGGTCGTTCCAGACTGAAATATCTCAACAACTCCTGGGTGGATTCAGATGAATATATGTACAGATATTCATGATCCCAAGAAGTTGAATCCTAAGAGCTTTGGCAATTCCCTACTTTTCCTGTAGCGCCACCATCAGGTGTCCAATAGGCCTACTTTGGTTTATGACTGAATACCTGCAAAAGTCACCAGCCTCAGTACTGATCAGCTTCTATTTAGTGCTAATTACTAAATTAGCTAAACAGCGTTTAGTAATTAGCATTCTGATGTTCAAGCCTTTACTTGATACTCCAACCCTTTATGCATTGATTTGTCAGCTGTGTGGGGGTGAGAAAGAAGGCAGGGTTTGAACTTCTCTCTCTATATCTGTCACTTTATACATAAACAACTGTGGCGACAGTTTCCAGGTGAGACATGAGAAAAAACACTGTAGCCTACAGGTCGATTATGCAGCAGATAACTACGACTCATATTTATACTTATTATATTGTTAGCCTCTAGTGGCTGTATGTCAGGAGCAAAGGGAGAAGTCAGGTGATGTAGTATAAGTAAGAAACTCCATGTAATGAAAGAGAAAAGTTTTACGTTTCGTAGGTGACTTTCATAATGTACTTATTTTAATCCAAACTATGATCTTTTAATAAACCTTACCAAGTGGTTTTGTTGCCTAAACCTAACTACATGTTTATCACGTGTTAAACTTCATATAACTTAGGTCACGTGACTTATGTAATGTATTTAAGCTCCTAAAAGTCTGTCACTGGACAGGTACTTGCTGACACTCCTACATGTTGTTTTTGGGGAAGAGCTAGAGAGAAAAGTTCACACTGCGATTCCTGTCCCTTCACACAGGTGATCAATCACAGCTTGAGCGGGTGTGATTTTAAAAACGACTGTTGGCTTGTTAAAGTTACAGAAATGGATGGACAGCAGCAGTTCTGATGAAGCACACTGCCACCTTTACGCATGATGTGACTTTGCTGCAGTCGGATGCCTTCTACCTCACATATCAATTGTTTTCCTTCGTCTTTCTTAATGTTAGACATTAGTCACATTTCTCCTGTTTTAGCTTCTCTGCATTGGCTTCCAGTAAAATCCAGAATAGAATTTAAAATCATTCTTCTTACCTACAAAGCTCTTAATGGTCAGGCACCATCTTATCTTAAAGAGCTCATAGTACCTTACTACCCCACCAGAGCACTGCGCTCCCAGAATGCACCTGTGGTTCCTAGAGTCTCCAAAAGTAGACTAGGAGCCAGAGCGTTCAGCTATCAAGCTCCTCTCCTGTGGAACCAGGTTCCAGTTTGGGTTCAGGAGGCAGACACCATCTCCACATTTAAGAGTAGGCTTAAGACTTTCCTCTTTGATAAAGCTTATAGTTAGGGCTGGCTCAGGTAGTCCTGAACCATCCCTTAGTTATGCTGCTATAGGCCTAGACTGCCGGGGGATTTCCCATGATGCACTGAGCTCCTCTCTCCTCTACTTTCTCTCCCTCTGCTCTCTCCTCCTATCACTTCCTGCAGGTTTTCTGGCTCTGGAGCTGTGGAGTCTGGATCTGTGGTTGCGGGTCACCTGTTGCCCCCGTGTTCCTGCTCGACACCCTCTGCTGCAACGACTATTGTTGCTAGTCCTATTGTTATTATAATCATTAACACTACTGTATACTACTACTGTAATATCTGTACAGAGATACAGTATCTTATGGAGCGTGTGCCATAGAGAGAAGGGAATAACATTTTAAAAGGTTGGAACACACTTCAGATGTGGTTTTGTTTGAAGCATACTGAGGGCTTCACTGAAAGTTATTGTAAATGATAAATAATCATCGTGGATGTCAGTAAATGTAAAGTTAGACACCGGAGTCTTGTTCTAGTTTTACTGCATTTATTGGGTTTAAATGGTGAGAGAAGGCCAGAGCCAATCACAGTAAGTAATCAGAGCAGGAAACAGATTCCTGGCCATTATCAAAAGCGCTTCTGCGAAACTAAATTTATATTGACTTTTAAAGGGTAAATAAACACTGAAGATTTATAGGCAACTGCTGCTGCTCTCGTGCTCTGTTGGCACAAACGTTTCAGTAAGTTGACCAGCTGGTTTTGAACCAATAAGTGCTGTCACAGTGCTCTCCCAAACTCTTAAGTCGTGTATTCTCGTCCTTTCTCCTAAAACGCCGCACTGTTTACATCCATGTTTAGCAGCCGGCAGTCTTCTTCTCTGCCTTTGTTGGTGCTTTGCTACATTTCTCAGTGTTACTTCAACCTGTTGATCAGGGGATCTGTGCATTGCATCACCTGCATGTGCACAAAATTAAGGACCAGCTCACAGACAAATATCTCCATAGTGCTACTAGAACCTTAAAGTTGTCAAATGCTGTGTTAAATAAAATTTTTAGAAGTTACATCAGGGTAATGCGAGCTCACAATCTGCAGGTAGATTTTCTTTATTTTCCTCAATTTGTGTCCTCAAATCGTCACCTTCCCTCCATTTGTCCTCCACAAACTTGCAACAGACACTAGTAGCTTTTTTCAGAGCTTCAACCACATCTCAGCAAATGGATTTTGTTTGGTTGTTCTAACATGAAGCTAGTATATAAAAACTTTCCACGTACGAATGATTTTGTTTTGTCTACAACCTTTTATGCGGCCATCTTGGACAGAGGTGGGACTCACCCAAATGTTTTGAACTGCAAGAGTGAATTTAACCTTTAAAAGTCAAAACTGTGGAACTGTGAGCAGCTAAAGTTCCCTGCTCTGGTTACACATCGTCGTCGTGTTGTTAAAATCTTTCACACTTTAAAAAAAAAAAACGAGAAACAAAAACACTTCATTCTCCCGCAGCCAAAATAATATTTATCTCTCTCTCTGTATTGTGGATGAATAATGACTAGTATGCTCTGCCGGGATCTTTGCGTTTCGAAAAGCAAAAAGACTGATCTGCAGTCAGTTTTTATTTACTGCCCCAAAACCCCCATATTTATCATTTTATTGAGAACATTTAAATAACATTAGAACTAAATGTGGTACAGATTGGATGTACACAGAGGAAACCGGCGGGGTGGATGAAGGTTGTGACGCAGACACAGCATCCCGTTTCTCCTCTTATGTACACTGAAGGTGCGACAGCGGCTGGATGATCAGAAGTTGATGGCTTTGCCAAATGAAGCGGCCAGGTTTGCTTCTCTGAAGGCCTCAGACACCGTCTGCAGGAGGAGGAGAGTGAAAAACATCACGAAGCAGCAGCAGAGTTCAGCTTGAATTTTAACTTATTTCTGATATTTTCTGCAGACTATGAACCTTTATTTTTCCACTGTTACTTTAACAGTTTAGTATTTATAAGGAACAAATAAACATTTAATATATGTGAATTTGAGGGGAATATAAATATTTTCAAACTTTTGATATCTTAAAACACCAAAAATCAGGGAGAAGGCTTAGGGATGCAGCGATTACCGGATTTCACTATTAACCGCGCTTTAAAACGTCACGGTTAATTCATCGTAAAGGCTCCGCTACACCGAGTGTTTCTGTTGCACGGAACGAAACTGTGGCAACTTGCATAAAACAAAGTTACAGGAGCGGTGCACCAGCTTAAGTGTCGTGCTTATCAGAGGCTGCTGTACACTGGCTAAACTATTGTAGAGGGACCAAACTTTGAAGCTTTATTTCCACCAAAGAAACGGCTGAAGTCGGCAGTGTGTGGGAGCATTTCGGGTATATATATATATATATATATATATATATAAAATAATTACATTAAACTTGCACCACCCAGCTTTGCACGTGAAATAAAGTTAGGCCTAATACATTATATTGAATAATATAATTTTCCTGAAAGGGCCTTTATGGAAGACAGAACGTAATCCTCTGCAGACCTTCAGTCACTGAACATTTAACATTATATTATGTTGCCTCCTCCTGTCTGTGCTGTGAAAATGTTGCCAGGTGTAAAACACTAACATACGTCAGGAGCTTATAGGCTTTCAGGACTGTAGGCTACCAATTAACTGCAATTCAGTTAACACTGCACTCAATTTCTTTCTATCATTTTCACTAAAACACATGTACGGATGAACAGGTCAGTTTATTCCCCTCCTTTATAACACTTTCCCCTGGTTGATAAACATTCCTCTTATATTAATAATACTTATATTATAGAAATATAATTGTTGATGTAATTAAATATTAAAAATCAACTTAAGTCATTACTGGTGTTGTGAAATTAATTAATGCATAATAATCGTGAAACCGTGATTATTTCTCTGACAATAATCGTACCAACAAAATCTGTAATCGTCGCGTCCCTAGTAGGCATCTTTTTATTTTACTGATGTGGGTTACTGTTATATTATGATGCACTAGTTTAGGAGTGTGTGTGTGTGTGTTGCAGCAGGACATACAGGATGGGCGTGGCAGACTCTGGCGATGTCCTCACAGGAAGCGCCGTACTCCATGGCCAAAGCAGCTTCATTGATCATCTCTCCTGCCCCCTGCAGGGAAACACACAAACCAACAGCTTCTAATGGATCTGACGTTTGTAGATTTATTACATGAACATAAAATAAAGAAGAGGACAGCTTCACTATTAACTAACCCAGCAATTATGAGCGCTTGAAACTTGTTGTATTGACATCCTTACTGTTTCACTTTCTTATGACAAATGTACTTATTGTAAAGTCACTTTGGACAAACGCGTCTGCTAAATGCACTAAATGTAAATGTACTGAATTTTATTACCTGTGCACCTGTTTCTAAATGCTTTTCAAATTACAGTACAAATTAACTAAACTGTACTGTGTATAAATACTGCAGTACTGCATATAAAATATAGTTTACTGTAGTTCAAATTATAATTGGGCTGTAGCCTAAAAAAGTATTGTGCGGTTTACAAATACAGTAACGTCCGTAGTGCAGATAGGCTGCTGAGCTACAGCTCTGTGCTGGTTTCAATGCATTTCTACATTTTTAAAGAAGCCAATAAATAAAATACAGGTTATCAATACTGAACTAGTACCAGAGTTTGAAAACAAACATTTTCAGATTTTTTTCCCATAACTTGTCATGTATGAAAAGACCCAAAATAAACACTGTAAGCTTGAATACTATAAGCACATTTCATTGTTAACATTCAAGCTAAGATACTGATGTTCCTCTTACAGTTCCGAGGATGTGAGCTCCCAGCATCCTGTCGGTCTCCTTGTGGCCGAGGATCTTCACCATGCCGTCAGTGTCGGCGTTGGTTTTGGCTCGGCTGTTGGCTGCGAAGGGGAACTTGCCCACTCTGTACGGGACGCCCTTTGGAGAAAAGCCAGAGTCAGATGAATTCGACCATTTGTTCCTTTCAGATTACTAAAGAGTTGTTCTGACATTCACTGGTAGTCGATAGATAATGTCAGATTAACCTCTGTCCTCAGAGCAGCACCTCAAAATTCTGTCCCAGTCCCTTTTTTCAAAAACAACACAACAGTTGAACAGAAAATGAAAACTATATCGGTAATCATTTTATCGTTCAAATAATTTATCAAGCAAAAAAATTTCCCCCCAAAAAATCCTGATTCCAGCTTCTCAAATTCTACATAATATGATTATTGTGAACAAACAAGACATTTGACAGACATCAACTGGGAACTTGTGATGGACATTTTCTGACATTTGATTAACTAAATGATTGAAAGAATTATGAAAATGGATGTTAGTCGCAGCCCTGATGATACTGAAACTCTAGTGGGTTGTAATCAAACCACCTCCTGTTATACCCCCCCCCCCCCCCGACCCCGGCCTCGACTCTCACCTCCTCTTTGAGCTGCTCCTCTGTCTTGCCCACCCAGGCCACCTCGGGGTGCGTGTAGATGACGGAGGGAACACAGTTGTAGTCGATGTGCACGGCGCCTCCTGCCATGCCCTCCACACAGATGATGCCCTCGTCCTCGGCCTTGTGAGCCAACATCGGCCCCGCGATCACGTCACCGATCGCAAAAATGCTGAGGGGGGGGGGGGGGGGAGAACCAAAGTTTCAAGGAGTGGATCCTTTTACAGCTTCTATTCAGTCAATTAATAATTATATGTCGTATTAAATAAGAATGAATGGTAAAAATTATTTTATATTCAGTGTTTACATTACATTTGTGGAAAAACATGCGTCATGTATGGAGGAAGAACAACATGATAAATTATAGTAATTACACCTGCTTCTGTTAATACACGTTCCTTCTACAGCTGGATGTAAAAAACATGACTAACAACTTCTCTTGACCTCTTGAACTCGACCTCCAACTGTCATGGTAGACTGCTGGTCTTATTTAGCGGCTATTAGAACATGGTGGTCCAGCAGCTCCTCCTCAGTCTGTATGAGAACATCGGTCTGCACCGTTTTAGATAATCAATAAGCTGTAGAAGCTTTAAAAATCTAGCTTCAGAGATGCTGACAGGTCAGTTTATATCAGGCAGCCCGAGCTCTGTGGTACCTGGGCACTTTGGTCTCGAAGCGGTTGTTGACGGGGATGCGGCCCCTGTTGTCCAGCTCGATGCCGACAGAGTCCAGACCCAGGTTCTGGGTGAAAGGTCGTCTGCCGATACAGACCAGCAGCACGTCACACGTCAGCGTCTCGTTCTTCCCTCCGGCCGCCGCCTCCACTCTGAAACACACACGCAGGGTTACAAACGGCTGACATCATTTATATTTCACGAACTCTAATCCAGACCCTGATATCTAAACAGGATCTGAAGATTCGGCGGCGCTGTACTCACGCCACGTCGATCTTGCCGTCAGGCCTCTTGGTGGCTCCCAAGACTTTGGTGCCGAGCTTGAATTTGAGGCCCTGCTTCTGCAGGATGCGCTGGAAGTTCTTGGAGATCTCCATGTCGATGCCCATGCCGCCCACGTGGCCCAGGAACTCCACCGCTGTGACTTTAGAGCCCAGACGTTGCCACACTGACCCCTGCAGGAAGCGAGGACAAACACTTACAGGCTGTTCACACCTATGGAGTCAAAAGCCGGGACAGCGACATGATGCATTCATTGTGAAAGCTGCAGCTTCATGTGAGGCCAGAGACCGCAGACTACTTTTTTATTTTTTTTTATCTGCATGTCTGAACGCAGAGCAAGAGGACAGATTCAAGAGCTCCAAAACAAAACGAAAGACATCTTGAATCAGACAGTTAGTAAGCATTCAATGTAGGGCTGCGATGTGACCATTTATATCTGTTTGATGATAGAAAAACGTCTATCGGACTCAGACCGTGCAAGCTAAACACAAGGAGCTCATACCAAAGACAGAAGTCTGTTGAGCCACGCAACATTATTCCAGCTGACTTTTATTTTAAAAACATTCTCATCATTGTAACCGTGGTTTGAAGTTTGCCTAAATATGGGATATAAATATTGGGCTTAATTTAACGGCTACTGGGCGGCTTCTACACTGAACCGGACTGAATTGATGCTGACCAGCTCCACTCCGATGACTCCGGCTCCGATCACAATCATCTCTTCTGGAACTTTCTTCAGGGACAAAGCTCCTGTTGACGACACGACAGAGTCCTCATCAATCTAAAAAACAAACAAAAGAAAAACATTTGAGACTGGTAACACGTTTAAACACAGCTACACATTTATTTTAAATCAAGTCCGTTGATGAGAAGGTCTTTATATATTCTTTACAAATGCATGTTGACTTAAACTTTGACACGTCTCTGCGCTTGCACGTGTACCAACAGCAAAATCCTTCCTCTATTTCCATTTTTACAAATACTACTTCTGTGGTTTTTCCATACATTTTCTAAAAGACCTTGAACTACACACGGTGGTAGCAAAAAAATATGTCAACCCAAGAATTACCTGGATTTCTGCATAACTTGGTCATAAAATGTGAAGTCAAAACAACAGACAAACACAGTCTGCTGAAACTAATACCACACAAACATTTCCATGTTTTTATTGAACACACCGTGTAAACATTCACAGTGCAGGGTGGAGACAGTGTGAACCCCTGGGCTAAAAAGCTAAGCGACTGTAGTTGTTTTGCCAGCACACAGTGAAATGGCGCTGTACCTGGATCCCGGGGAAGGGCGTGACCTCGGAGCCTGTGGCGATGAGGATGTTCTTAGTGTTGATGACCTGCTCGCTGCCGTCTTCTGCTATGGCCGTCACCTGGTTTTTGCCAGTTATCCTCCCAAAACCGTTAACATGGGTCACCTGAGGAGAGTGATGTCACACCGTGAACGCCATAGTCAGCGGTTCAGATTCCTAATGGTGATGCGAGAGAACGACGAGTGAAACGAGAGAGAAAGAGGTTCTGACTTTGTTCTGTTTGAATAGATGCGCGATTCCTCCGGTCAGCGCTTTGACCGCTCCGCTCTTCTGAGCCATCATCTTCTCCAGGTTCAACGAGAGGCCTGAAACTGAGAGAGACACACTTCAGTCATCATCTTTGATCAATAATCATTGAATGAATAACTATTTGTATTGGCTAGTTATCATTTGTACTTTTGTTTAAAACTATAAATGTAATTAAAAGGCAGGGAAAGCAATTCTGAAGAAATTCAGTTCCCTGACTTGGACCCCAGATTGGCCACATTGAACATAAAGGCATAAAGGGATTGAAATAATACTAGAAAGTTGGTAAATAAAAATATATATAAATATAAGAAAAACACTACAGAATTACGGTCATTTTCTACAATGGCTTATAACAGCTGCAAGGACAAATGACGGCACTGATAAAAAATCCTCACATTTGAGAGGCTGGAGCCAGAAAACGTTGTTCTGCTTGACAGCCGACCAACTGAGCTACACAAAATGTCCCTTTAAAGTCCAATGAAGACTCTTACTTTCGATGCCTCTGCTCTCAAATTCCTTGCCGTGAGCCATGTGGTACAAGTAGGAGTTGTTCAGCAGAGCCTGCACAGATAAAATATTAATTTACACAGCTGGAGGAATTTTTTTTTTTTTTTAATACATTTAATAAAAGTTTTCATGTATTTTCACTGTTTTTGTTTTTCTTGTTTCATGTATTTTCTGTTCTCTTTGTGTGTTTCATGTTTACCAAGTGCAAATGTCCCTAAAATGACACTGATCTGCAATTAATCCAGTTTAAATATTAGTCTGAGCTTGTTCTAGTTTATGAAACACGAGTTAAAGAAGAACTCCAGAACAATCTGCTTTACAGGATAGTTTAACTAATGGATGAACCATTAGGACTGCAGACATTCACCACACTGATGATTATTATTATTATTGAGTTGCTCTTAATCACAGAAATATCAGTGTTAATGTTTTCACAACCGTCTCTTCCACTGCTGAAACTACAGAACATGTTGATTAGTTAGAATTTCTTACCTTTGAGGGGATACAGCCGACGTTCAGACAGGTCCCACCCAGACTGGCATTTTTCTCCACACACACCGTCTGTCAAAGGAAAGATGTACAGAAGAGAGGTCCACCTTAATATGTTTAGCCCTTCAAAAGGTGACCTGCATTACCCACTATACATTAAAATGTGATTAAGATGCTTTTCTATCAGCTCACGTCAAACCGACCAATTATAAAGATGAAAAAGAGGTAGTTAACTAAAGTAAGATCATTTAAATGTTTATTATAATCGTTGTTACAGCTCTTTACAGCAATATATCCTGCTGTCTGCAGACTTTATCCAGGATGAAACGTTTCCAGCCATAAAAATTTATTAATAAAATCCATGTCAAAGAATTTTTTTTTTGCACTATGTGAAGTATATTTATCAAGTTTTAATGTATCATAGATGTGGTGACATGAACCATAACTGGAGTTTTAAAGTTGTAGAGATGCTCATTTATTAAAAAAAAGAAAGTTACGTGAAAGTGGAAATTCAAACTGGGTCTTGCACAGATCTTAGCTCAGGGCCCGTATTTATCTATCAAACTTCTCAGAATTACTCATAACAACTCTGCTAAAAACTGACTTAAGACTAAAAAAAGTCTTGGCTCAAAGCTGTGCTTAAAAGTTAGTTATCAAGCATCATATTCCTAATTTCATTAAAGTGTAGGACTTAATCTTAAGTGTCAGTCTTAGTGCTGATTTACGACACTTTGCTGTGCCGCAAACAGGATTTTGGATGATGATGTCACCAAGCACTGAAGAGATGTCATATTTAAGAATATTCTCAGACAATTTCACATTGAATGGTGAAATTCCTCAAAAGAGTTTATATTCAACACACATTTAACACTAAAGAATTTTCAAGAGAATACATTATGATATAGGCCTAAACATTAATAAATGAAAGATAAAGAAAAAGTTTATCTTTATATGAGCACCATCAATGCGCCTACTACTCCTGGGAAGCCGGCTATTTGCATCAACTGTGTTTGCTTCTGTCGCATTACAGGGGGGGGCGTGTTGTTGGGAAGTCGATGACTTCGAGGAGTGTGTGGAGCTCTAACAGAAGTGCCATAATTGTTTCCGTGACTATTCGGCTTTTTGACGGTTGTGACGAGCCAAAATCATCAGCATTGCTGCATTCGTCCTGACGCAGAGAAACAAAATGTCACCACCTTCAGTTTAACTGAAAACGCATTACTGCGTAAAGTCAGTGGTGAGATGACGTCCCGCGCTGTCCGAACCCGTCTTATTAACTGCACGTCAAATAATTCAATTCAACAGTTTTCCTCTTCTGAAAGATTTGTGCATGTCTCTGTCTCCACAACGCCATCACAAGCCCTACTGGCAGCTCCTAACCACTTGAGAGACCTCTCGAGCTTAAATAACTGGGAGAGTAAGAGTGATTCTTAGCATTAAGACATTTGATAACTTGCTTTTATTCCCAAGTTTAAAAGTAGGAGTACATTTCATGAATTCTCAGCACTTAAGACTAAAATTGCTCTTTGAGAATCTTGATAAATAACGGCCCAGGTGTTGCCAATAATTATAACCTTTCAATGCAGCGAGGGTTGAACAATTTGAAGACCACATTGTTGATTAAAATGATTTTAAAATGTCAAGAGACCTGAGATCAGTTGCACACTGAAGAAATCTCTTATTCTAAATGAATCCTTAAAAACAATTATCAACTTTTTCAGCATCAAATGAATAAATAAAATAAAATATTTCAGCCATCAAGAACTTTTACACCAAAGTACCACTTTCATTAGTTACTTTCCAGGAAATACAATATGTATGTAGAATATGAATATAAAATGACATCCTGAAGGCAGCTTACCTTGAAGCCGAGCTGTGCGGCTTTGATGGCAGCGACGTAGCCGCCTGGGCCGGAGCCTACGACCGTGATGTCTGCATCAACTGCAGAGAGGCAACACAGCAACGTTTAACATGAATTCACAACAGCAGCTCAAGTAAGAGAGACGCTGGAGACATTTAAACCCTCACTCAGTATAACTACAGCAAAAATAAAAGTCTGTATCTGTAGAACGAGCGAAAAGTCTGGTGAGATCAGCGGGACCCACAGGAAGAGAAGCTTTTCTTCAGGAAGTTTCTGAATATGACAATTTTTAACTCACTGATGTCATTACAGGTTTTGACATTGATTGCCAGACTACATTTACTATTCTAACATAAGTTGGGATGGTAATTAATGATTATTTATAACATTTCTTTATAAGTTAGACAATTATTATGTAGTTAAAAGGATAAGCAGAACATTGATTGATCATGAAGAAGAAGAGGTGGCGCCCTGGTGGCCTCTGTGCTCAGCTCGGGACCTTTGTTGCAGGTTATTCCTCACCTCCCTACCGCAGGCAAACAGTAATAAAAGACCCCCAAAATACTTTAAACACTAGTAAATAATGAAAAGCGAAACAACAATGGCAGACTTGAGTTTTAAATCAATCCACACAAATTTAAATCTTCATTTCTTTTCTTTGATTAAAGTCAAATTCAGCATTAGTGACATTTCATCATTAGTAAAATCAAGTTTTATTCACAAAAATGTCACTCAAGAGTGAAAAGATTTGGACCAGTTGTGAATTTTCTTTGTACCCAAGACAAAATATATGACAGGTTGTCTTTTAAGGAGTCTGCTGAAAGGGGAAACAACCGTCACACGTCTGGCTAAAGTTCTAACTGTTACTGAAGGCAGAAGACATGCAGTGGTCTTACTCGCTGCTTTGTCAGCGTAGGTTCTGACGGACAGAGCTGCAGCGCCGTGCAGTTTGCAAGGAAGGTGGTGGCTCCGCTGAAAGGCAAACAAATACAAGTATATTAAAAAACTATAATACAGCCACACAGTCAAACAATCTACTAAAACTAAACACGCTGACATTTTGCAGCACCTTGCCTTGAATTCAGTCCAGGGTACAAACCAGACGCTGCAACCACTGTTAGTAAGTAAATTGCAGATTTTATGAGAAGATGCAGAATCGACCATAACACTGTCAGCATCCCAGTTATGAAAGTTAAAAGCTGATTTAAAATATTACTGCAGAACAGAAGTCACCGTCAGATGAAATGAGTTTTTACACGTTGCTTTCTTTACTTTTAACACAGAATAAAATCTTTTGAGCCCCTAAAGAAAGTATAAAGTACACTGTCTTGCTCAGAGGCGCTCAGCTGATGTTCAGCCCAGTAAAGTGGCTCTCAGCTCGGACACATTCATCTGTCAGTGCTGCGTAGCGACACAGCAACTCTTTAAAACACACGTTTTCATACCACCAGCTGACAAAATATGTGATCTACAGACGATAATGTGACTACAGCTTCTCAAATAAGAGGAACAACTAGGAACAATATGTTATTTAGCATGTGAAGCTGTGAGACGACATGCCATAAGCTGCCGAACCTCTAACATAAACTACAGTAAGAGTTAGGTAACCACTGCTAACTAACCTTAGCATGTTAACATGGCTTAGAGAGAGCTGTCATCTGTGAGTGTATTAATGTTAACGTTACATCTATTGAAAGTTTATCCTTAGCTTACGTATGTCACGTAACGTGTACAATTTGCACACGAAATGACATTATAACGTTAACGTTACCTCTTTACAAAGTGTGATTCAACAGCTAACCAAAAAAACAAAAAGTCGAAATTTCGGTTAAATATGGACACTTGTGTTAATTTTGTTGATGCCGAATTAAAAAGAGAAGCATATAAAACTGGATAACATATAATATACATACTGAGAGACATATTTTTCGCACTTATAAGCACAATAACTCTGGATTGTACGTTTTCCGAGTGGAGTCTGGCGTAATGTTCTCCACGTACGACTTCATCGGACCGGAGCGGTTTAGCTGACACCGCTAGCCGCTGCAGGGCCGCAGGTGTGAAAACACCAGTATCAACAGGAGCAGGAACCAGTGAGACCAGTTAGAAAGCTTTCCGGACAACACATGCTGGTTAGCAGGTTAATAAAAGCCTCTCTTACCGTGGCCAGAGAGCGGTATATCTGCGTCCAGCTCTGCATTTTGTCTGTGTCCCCTCACAGGATCTGTAACCTACAGCAGGCCGACCAGCCAAGGACTCCTGTCATTGCGCAAACGCAGAACCACGCTTCTTCTTCTTCTTCTTCTTCATTGGGTGTTAATGGCGGTTGACACCCAGAAATGTTGCATTACCGCCACCTTCTGGATCAAACAGTTTCCCAGTGCACATAAATAAATGTACAGTGTCCAACCAAAGTTTTCAAAACCTTGTCAGAGTTGCTGCAAATCCTTCCCTCAGTGTGTCATATGTCCACAATGTCCAAGAATCTGCTTGCAGCATCCATCTTAATCCTCTCTGAATGTTTATTTCAACAGCTCAATTAACCGTTGCTGCACCAGTCTCACCTGTACGTGTAAATAAATCACCATGTTTAACTTCCACCATCAGACAGGATGAGATCAGGATTTGCTGTATCAGGATCAAGTCACATCCGCTGCACACTGCTGGACCCTCCAGCTCGGCCTCAAGCAGCTTCTTCATCTGCTTGCCAGGACGACCTGGTTGGGCACACCTGTGGACAGGTCACCAGTCAGTGCAATACAAGAAAAGATTAAAAACTATTAGTGATAGGAATTACTGCGCTTTGGAGGGAGCCGGATCTTTTGGTTTCATTGCTTTCCAAGAACCGGCTCTTTCTGCTCCCAAGCGGCTCTTCATTTAGCCTTTGAAACTGTGCATAACAATAAAGATAAAATATATAAATGTATATAATATTAAATTGACAAGAAACTAAAAAAAAAAGAATATGTGAAATGCATTGCATTATCGCTTGAGCACTTTATTCAATTCAATTCCATTCAATTTTATTTATGTAGCGCCAAATCACAACAACAGTTATCTCAGAGCGCTTTTCAGAAAAGAGCAGGTCTAGACCGTACTCTGTGATGTTATATACAGAAACCCAACAATTCCCACGCGCAGCACTAGGCGACAGAGGCAAGGAAAAACTTCCCTTTAAGAGGCAGAAACTGTCTCTTAAACTTTATTAATATTAATAGTGTCAAGTTTACATTTCTGTTACTCTGTGCAATAATCAAATCACTGTGAAATGTCTTTAGGTCTATACGTATCTTTTTGTTGTTGTGCTACGTGTAGCTGGAAAAATGCTTCCGCTTTGCACTCCTTGTTGTATGAACATACTGACATATCACGTTATAAAGTTAAAAGATTGTTTAAATGAAATATGTTGGCTTTGTGAAATTACAAAAAAAAAATGAAACATATTTTGTTATAACGTAAAAAATGTCTATATACAACACCACATTATCTTCCACTGCAGACTGTCTCAGATGTGATGGGGGATTGGAGCTCGTCAGCTCGAGTCACGTCTGAGAACAGCTGATGGTGTTTTTAATCACATGATTTGGTGTCATTAGAAACACCATCAGCTGTTTTTCAGCTTTGATACCAATCAAAAACAAAATAACTTAATCAGACTTTATTTTGCTTTTGTTTATTTAAAAAGAAAAAGAGAGAAAAACAAAAGACTTTTGTCTCATTTCTTTAACTAATCTTGTGCCAGAATGCAACACTCCAGGAATGTGCAAATACTTCTTATTTCTGAGGACATACTTCTCTCATGATTTAAAGGTATTGAAGGGAGGTAATGCAGTTATTAGACGACATTATAAAATCAATCAGAGTGCTAAAATTGGTGTGTTGTAGTAGTAAGTAGTAAGAAATTGTTTTACAGAAAAAAACACATTTATGTATACACCATACATCAGAAAAAATATACATTTATTACATTAAATGTAGAAAATCTTATTTAAAAAGAAAAAGAGAGAAAAGCAAAATACTTTTGTCTCATTTATTATATTTATCAACTGCTCTCCAGTAATTTGTGCCAGTATGCAACACTTCTTATAGAAACAATGATCAGACAATAAAAAGTTTATTGTCCAAACATTTAAGGAACGTGTAAATGCTTCTTATTTCTGAGGACATTGTTTTCTGATGATTTAACAGTGTTTAAGGTAGGTAATGCAGTTATTAGAATAAATTAGATCAAATCAATCAGAACTGTAAGTAGCAACTTGACAAATTAAAGAAAAACATTTAAAGAAAAAAAGGGGAAAAAATACATTGGTCAGAATCTGAAAAACTATCAATGTAAATCATCAATAAATTATTAATTATTATAATAAATTATAAATTATTATAATTATTACATTAAACGCAGAAAATCAAATGGTTGTTTTACTCAGTGTGATTGACAGGAGAGATGATCAGAGGGGCAGAGTTTTTACCACCATCGTTATTACAAGGACTAAAGAATGGGTAGAGTTTCTCAGTGAAGCAGCAGCCAGTAAAGGAGTAGATAAGAGCTGCAGCATCAACGTCATAAAAGGAGACCAGACCCTCCTCATAATCCACAAACACCCCCACCTTCTCAGGCTGAGACTTCAGAGAGAGACGGACTGCAGGGCCAGCAAAAGCTTGGTACTTGTTTTCATTCCTCAAACATATCATCCAGTAACCTTTCTGAGGACTCGCTGTGATTTTTCCCTTCCTGTTGATCGACTCTCTGGCCACTCCTAAATCCCACTTAGTCTTCCCTTTAACCTGAACCTCGTAGTAAAATCTTCCTGAAGAGAAACTCTGCTTTACTAAGACACAGGGACAATAATCAAATCTCTCTGGATTGTCCGGGAGATTCTTCTTTACATCTCCACAGTTTACTTGTTTTCCATCATCAGACAGGATGAGGTTGGGATGTGCTGTATCAGGATCGAGTGTCACATCCACTGCATACTGCTGGACCCTCTTCAGCTCGGCCTCAAGCAGCTTCTTCATCTGTTTACTGAGCGTCTCCTCCAGCTGATTCACAGCTCTCCTCACAGTCCCCTCATATGAAGGTGGACGGACGCTGACTTCTGTCCAGTCCTTGGTGGGTGGAGCAGCGTTCAGGGACGGGAGTCTTTGGAGGAGGTGGAGGTGGTCTTCAGAGCGTAAGAGCTGCTCCACCTCAGAGCTTCTCTTCTTCAGCTCAGAGATTTCCTGTTCCAGCTCTTTGATGAAGCCTTCAGCCTGTTTCTCTGTCTCTCTCTGCTTCTCTTTGATCGTGTCGATGAGCTCGGCCTGGCTTCTCTCAACAGACTCCTTCAGAGCGCTGAAGACCTGAACACCACCTGCTATCTCTCTGTCTGCATCTTCCTTACTGAGCTCCACTGAGCGTTTGATCTCCTGAATCTTCAGTCGTCTCTTCTGGATCATCTGCTGAGTTTCAGCCTCTGTCTTCCCCAGCTCGGCCTTCTTTCCTTCATATTCTTCTTTCAGAGGAACAACATCATGTGTCTTGTGGTCTAAAACAGTGCAGGGCATGCAGACACACATCTGGTCGGTCTTACAGAACAGCTCCAGCAGTTTATCGTGCTTCGTACACATCCTGCCTTCCAGGTTCTCCACAGGGTCGATCAGCTGATGTCTTTTCAGGCGTGAAGCTGTCAGATGAGGCTCCAGGTGAGTCTCACAGTAGGAGGCCAGACACACCAGGCAGGACTTCAGGGCCTTCAGTTTGGTTCCAGTGCAGACGTCACAGGGAACTTCTCCTGGTTTGGCAGCTTGTTGCTCTGAGCTGCTGCTGCTGGCTTTCTGTTGAGCTGACTGTCTGAACTGAGCAGCCATCTCAGAGATGAAAGTGTTGACCTGCAGCTCAGGTTTTGTGTTGAAAACCTTTTTACAGTTGGGACACTGACACAGGACATTAATATTCCAGTGTTCAGTGATGCAGGTTTTACAGAAGTTGTGTCCACATGGTGTGCTGACTGGATCAGTGAACACATCCAGACAGATGGAGCACAGAAACTGATCTTCAGTCAGCAGACAGCTGGCAGTAGACATATCCACACTCTGAGGACAAGAAGTGGGAAAAAATGGACAGTTAAAATTAAGGCAACTGCACTTTGTTGAAGATACTTGAACTATCTTAAACCTTGACCAAAGAGTCATTGTGTCCTTTGTGGAAACTCATTCTGTAGGTTATATGTGATGTGAAAAGGTTGAAAAGTGAAGGTTAACATTGACTTGATGTTGTGGGCTTGATGAAAGACTGTAACAGGAGTGTTGTAGCCCACTGAGCCATAGATATAGGATGTTCTTACAAGTGTTGGATTGACCCTTTTTGTTCTGTTTAACTGTTAGAGCATGCTGTAGACTCAAAAATAAGAAATAAAAACTCTGTGAAAAGTCTCTAGTAACCACAACTTGCCCTTTAAAGCCTTCAGTGCTTTCTTCCAAACTAAATTCATCTTCTACCAAAAGAAAAACATCACTAATCAAGTCAAACCTGAAGGGCAACAAAACCTCACCTGCAGAGCAGAAAGAGGTGGAGCAGCACTGGAAAAGCACGACAGTTTAAGTCTCACATTTCCTCAAAATTAAACTTTAGTCTGAGTGTCAGCAGACCTGCAGTCGAGACAAGTCTGTTTCTCAGGAAAAGAAAAGTCTGAATCTTAACAACACAGCAGAGTCTCTGCCAAACAAGTACAGCTGATAATATTTACTGTTTCAACACTAACACAGATCTTTGACATCATATCTTTTATCTGGTAAAACAGATGTAAAACAGTCAGATTCTGGTTTGAACTAAACTTTGACCAAATACTGGGTCAGAGCATTTTGGCTTTGTAGGGCCGTGTACTCACCAGGGTTTGGCAGAGATTCTGCTGTTTTGTTGAGAAAAACCTGATGGATTCAGTTGAAAGTTTCTTTAGAGAGAAACAGAGAGACTTGAATCCACTGCAGCTCTGCTGTTGCTCAGACAAACTTTGATTTGAGGAAATGTGACGTTGCAGCTCTCCTCTTTCACTGTTGCTCCTCTTCTCAGTGTAAAAGTAAGGTATAACTTTTTATCAAATCATACTGCTTATATTCCTTGAATTCAGGTTTATAAAAAGTAATTTTGGTATCAGCACCAAAACTCAGGTATAATATTGGAACTACTATAAAAATCTTGAAACAATGGTCTTCAGCAGCGAGCGGCCTCCTTAATGGCAGTGAACATAACGCCACAGTGAAGTGCAATAGGATGAAATCCCGGAAGGTGCAGCGGCGGCGGGAGTCGTGCCACTCCTACCAGCCAAAGGTCAGTGC